ACCGAGCAGATGTGAAGACGCTTATGAGAATGGCCTCCTCCATCTTGGGCTGCGAGACTAATTATTTTCTGCCTAGATGGTGTGAAAGATGAGATTGTGTGTGGAGTGGGCAGCCTTATCACACCTGACGGACATGTGTAATAGCTGCGACAGATAGAGACCGAATGATAGTGAAAAAAGGGGAGGAGGAGAGTGAGAGAAGCGCTTTGATAGAGATGGAGGAAAAGTACTTGTGAACGAGAAGGAGGACCCCGCGGCGGCTGAAACTCTGAGATGAAAATGCTGAAGTGGAGCGTTTCAAGTCTTTAGCTCAGCGTGGAGCCCAGAAGAACAGCTCTGAGAGGAGAGGACAAGACGCTATGTGAGCTCAGTTTGGTGTAATGGATTCTAGAGAGGACGGTGGACAAGAGGAGAGAATAGACAGATTTACCAAAGAAGTAACATAAATATATAGATAAGTACATAGATATGGCATTCACGCTTGTACTAGTAGACTCAGTTTGCCATCACTTCCTTACCAAATTTACTTATTGAGGACTGGAAACAATTTCTTGAGAACTGCGTTTATCAGTGTTTTGTCTTTTACCACATAGTGACATAATTGGGTCATACCGCAATTAAAGTCTTATTGCTTCAAAATTATTCGTTATTTGTCATATTACGGATGTGGTTAAGTTTTGTACTTACGTTATATTCTCAAAAACTGGCACCTTTTTCATCTAAATGTCAAGGAAGGAGGTTTAACTGGTAATTGTGGCCACGTTATGATACTGGAAATTGAGTTAAATCTCAATTTTTTTTTTAAACAAATCTTAAATACTAGTAAATATATTAGTAGTATAAACACACAGTTGGATTTGAGCACAAGTTTTAGCTGTGACAATTGCTTTTCCAGTCCTCCACAGCATCGCCAAAGTGACCAAAGTGCTTTCAAATAAAACAAAACAATATAAAAGCATACAGTAAGACACATACATAGACTCCTGTGTAGATCCTCCTGCAGGTCGTAGTCTCGGGGCTGTTCTTGCTCCTCACAGGTTTCCCATGAAGAATCGGGCATGTCGGAGGTGTCAACAGGTTTGGGCAGGTCAGGGTCAGGTCACGGGGGTCTCGGGGTCACGGGGGGGTCTCTCTGTGTGAAGTGGGGGGAGGGGCAAGGAGGAGTGAAAGAGAGAGAGACAGTGGAAGGAGGACAGGAGACAGAGGAGGAGCTGACGGAGCAGGACAGATGGTGATGGGACAAAGATGCTCCTCACACGTGCATGTTGTTCTTTAATCTAACAGAAGACAGTGAAAACAGTTTCTCGTCAACATTTTTCTGGCTGGATCGTCTTTCAGTAAAGCTCCTTGTTTTGTGTAGGAAGTGCTGACAGCAGAAAAGACTAGAGCTGCTTGTAGAGTATTTGGAAAAATCCAGGTGGTGCATTGCTTAGTCACTTTGAAATATATGGTCTTGGAATAAACCCATACAAGATGGAAACTGTACATCGCATGTTCCAACTTACAGACATTTATAGGCTTGTAGTTATAGCAGTAGTGTTTAGATAAGACAAAACCCCCAAAAGAAAAAGGTATTATAAAAGTGAGTGTATTCTTACCTGTCTCTACACACAAAACTATAACTTAAAGTAGAACTATGTAACTTTTCTCATGAAGGGACAGCCACCTGTTTGTCTCCATGGACATGTTATTTCTTTGCCTGAAATGTTCCTCAATATTAGTATTGGTATTAAACAGGAATCAGCTGGAAAGTCTCCCTGGCCGGAAGGTCCCCAAGTTGGAAATTCACACAACTATCTCAGGATTTTATCTTACCTATTTCAATGAAATACATAGATAAGACATTCCTAAAAGTGAATCTGAATGATTTTTAGAACAAATTCAGTTGCTTTTTAAGTTTCTTGTGTCTTGTGTGTGCTTCCAAATTATGTTCGTGGCAGGTTAGAAATAATTAATATTTCTTCCCAAATCAACAGTTACGGCTGCTATAAGACACGGGCAACAAGAAAAAATGATTTAAAATACGATTTCATAGTTAGCCTCTGAAAGCAAATGAGGATTATATTGATATTACAGACAGAAAAAATGTGTGTGCCGCTTCAGGAAGATCGGTAAAATGACATAAACAAGGCCCGACATTTCGTCTGGTACACTCACATTTCATTTTATTATGATATAGAATGCAGATTTTCTAACTCAATACATCACAGTGCGTGACATGGCTGGCTAAAAGCCGACGAGAATGTCCTCTCTCGGGAGGAGGGAGACGTTCCTGCCGAGAGAATGATACTCGCACTGAGATTTTCAAGCCAGGGGGACGCTCGAGCTGGTATTCTATTAAATTCATCTGCTCACTGTAAAAGTAGGTTAATAAGGTATTTTCTACAGTAACAACTTTAACTGATAAAATGCTAAATTGATGCTGGATGTTTAATGCCATACTGGAATATTCCAGGTTGTAAAGGAAAGTCCCACTAGGAAAGTTTCACAGATGTCAACAAATGCATTACTGATACACACTTATCAAAGGATTTGGCAAGGAATTCTTGGTGAAAACTGGACTAATGTAACACAATAGGGCAAATTATAAGCAAACATAATAACACATCAATATTCTTTTCCCCCATTCAACTCAATATTTACCATCTTAAAACCTTTTCAATTGCTAATCTTTTAAGACACTGTATTCAACCTACCCTTCACTAACTCCCACAAATCTCTTATCGCTCAACCCTTTTTGACAGCGTAACATTTAGGGCCATATTTCACCCAGTTCTCATAACACTCCCATGCCAAACACCCACACTTCTCCCTGCACATGCCCCAAACCTGAACACAAGTCTGGAGCCTGTAATGTCAAAGCGTCTGGTCTGAAAAATCATGCCTTAAAAGGTATTTGAGAAGGCTTCCATCAATCAGCCCTGCTCCACCTTATCGCCAGGCCACCCACAGCCTCTCGGTCTTAGTGCTCGGTGGAGAGGGTTAATTATTTCCGGATAGGAGACAATGCAGGGACTGTACCTGTGTGTGCTGACTTGCCCACGGGGGACATTTAAACTCTTACAAACACGCCTCAATCACTGGCTCGTGCCTCTATGTACGACTACTAGTATACACAGAGGAGTACTGTAGTTGTGGTATTGTGTCATAGCATTACGTAGGACTGAGCGACATGGGGAAAAATGAATCACTATTTTCGTCACATTGATCAATCTGGATTTTCTGTTTGTTGTTTTTTCTTTTCAAAAACAAAATAATGTCCTTGGAGCATACGTGCTTGTGATCATTACCATTAAACAAATTCTTTACGCCCAATTTCTCTTTCATTTCAAAGTCTGCCCTTTGCTACAAATCACATTTTACTGACATGACATTGCGACCTCGATTCATATTCAAATAACTGCCCAGCCCAAGTACTACTGCTACTACAAAAATATACTAGAAATACTAGCAACTTAGATTTAGCCTCAGCTTTCTATTTAATTTATTGTTGGCGCTTAAGCTACTCTAATCCTCCGCGCTTGCACTGAATTGTATTGTAAAGAGAAGCTGTTTGATAGTAATTGATGGATATGAAGAGGTACTTGGGTAATAAAACAGAGCTACATAATACATAATTAATAGTTATATTGTAATGTTATGGTATTCTTTATTGTGTAACATGGCAGAGTGGTTAACCAGGTTTTGGCGTTAGTGTAATCCTAGCCTAAGTGGTCATTGTTTGGATGTACCCCCAAAACACTTGCTGATTCATCTTAAAGGGTTCATATTCATGTTACGCAATTTTTTTTGTCAATTTTATAATACCTGGAGTTGTGTTTTGTTTCATTGACAAATCCATATTTAGGCTGTGTTCTTCTCTCAAACAGAAAACGCTCCACTGTGCTTTTAAATTGCATTCACCACTACAATCATTTGGACAATTTCAGTGTTGGAACTGCCATTCTCGACTGAACTGCAAACAAAAAGTAGCTGTTCACTTGAAAACCACCGCTTCATAACATCACAAGGCAGAACAGAGCGTTTTGAGCTTTGGGGCTGTAGACAGACTAATAATAAAAGATTACTCAAACATGTGTGAATGAAACAAAACACAAGTCCAGGTCTGTTTTTGGGGAGACAACAACATTCAAAAAAGGCTTAAAGCTCAAAAGAATCCATTTTGTGAAATATAGGACCTTTAATCAAAACAACGGACTGCGTAATCCAGTGCATATTATATTTCTAGGACATATGTATTTTAATGGTAAAAATTTGGATGGACGTTACTCTGCCTTGAGCTGTGTTGTCATATATTCGTAATGCAGGCTTTGCGATGCAGACGACACACTGTACACACATGCGAACTCACACTTGGATTCAGTCCCAGATGTGAAGGTTTTATGCACTTTGGAGTCACACTGAGCCGCTGACTCTGCTTTGGCCGCTGGATACTGTGCAGGGGTTATAAGTCCTCCATGGCCGTGTTATGAAAGCGATGGAAAGCAGTGGGGTCAGGCTATGGTCAGGTCGAAAACGTACAGTCCAAAATATGACCCTCTCTCCTCCCCCCTCTGCCCTGCTGAAAACTGCTTGGTCTTCTGGCTGCTCTCTTTCCTGGTGGACAAACAGTGTGGAGTTTGGCTCATTGACTCACAAATGTACACATCAGCTGCTTGGCTTCAATCAGAAAAGGTGTTTTGGAATAAGGGCCAGTTCAATATTCACCTGCAATGATTTTTCTGTAAACACTGTTGGGAGATAAACTGCATGCTCTAACTCCATACAGACCAATGATAGACTGTGACAGAAAAGTGGAGTTTAACTTTGGGATGATTGTGGGGATGATAAGGTGGTGATTTAACGTGGGCCTATTCTTTCTGTATTGCTCCTCTGCGTACAATGATTGAATTGCATCCATGGGGTCATGTGGTGATTTTGTTTCTTACACTCTGGCTTGTCTCTTCCTCCCCTCTTCTGTCTGTCTCTGTGCACCTCTCTACCTGCCCTCACCGCTGCAGAGGCCTCCAACAAATACCACATATCTAAGCCCACCCTGTGCTCAGTGCACCCGGGCGAGGTGCTGAAGCTGAGCTGCCCGCTGCCACTCAAGGGGACCATCACCTGGACCAAAGATGGCCGCTCTCTGGGCGCCAACAATCGCACGCTGATAGAGCAGGACGTGCTGCAGATCCGTGACACTACGGCCAAGGACTCAGGCCTGTACGCCTGCACCAGTGTGGGCTCAGACACGGTCTGCTTCATAGTCAATGTGACAGGTGAGTCAGGAGAAGGCAGGTGCAGAGCAGGGCTAGAGGAGATAGGGTAGGGCCATGGAGGGAACTAATGAAGCCCCATGCACGTAGTGTTTTGGAGACTTGTATTCTTGGATAGTGCTACAAAACTATTTGTGTTGGAGTGAATGTTTGTATCAAAGTGCTAAGAGGAGTCAGGGCAGCCCGTGATTACTGGTGTGAAGTCTGTATGTCCCTTATGTGTTACTGCTGTTGTTCGTCCTCAGCGTTTGTCCAAAAACACACATAGCACAGGTGCATGTCCAGGAGAATTGGTCCGTTAAATGTGTCCCTGGTGAATGTGAGTGAATGTTGTCTGTGTCTCCGTGTGTTGACCTCTGACTGCCCAGGATGTACCCTCAGCCTGATTTAAGAGAGATTAAACAATAACCATGAAGGGCAACTGTGAGGCCTGTTATTGATATTTAACATTAGGTCAGTGCTGAGTGATTTGAGAACAGTGCATGCTTTAGCTTTAGCTTTAGCAGAGGGGCTTGTGTGAGCGCCGGCAGCAGTAACCCTGGTTGCTCTGTGCAGATGCCATCTCGTCGGGGGATGATGAGGACGATACTGAGCGCTCGGAGGACACAGGGGGCGACGGTGAGCAGTTAAGTGAGTATCCAGGGACCAAACTCTGAGTGAAGTTAGACTAGTCTGTGTCCTGCCCTCATTCTAAATGTGCTGTGTTCAAGAGTGCGTCTGCTTCTCTGATGTGCTTCGTTTCGCTTTGGCAGTGTCTCGTCCGCTAATGCATTTGGCTACATTGTGCATGCTGCTTAGTAGTAATCCTGCTCTGTTTTTATTGAATTTGTGTTTACATTTTCAATCACTAGCCATATGATAATTAGGTGCTTTCATGTGGTATAAAAAGGTATGATACTGACAACAATATGAACCAAACCTTTAGACTTCACACTTGCTTGATTCAAAAACTGGACTAAACTAGGACTAAACCAGGACTAAACCAAGACTATACCAGTGCTATACCAGTGCTATAACAGTGCTAAACAAGGAAAAAACAGGACAAAACCAGGATAAAAACAGGACTAAACCAGGACAAAACCAGGAGTAGAGCAGAACCAGAAACCAAGTGAAAGTGAATGAAAGCACCCTTAAATAGCTTATTCTGAAAACTCACTTGACAGCAGGATATTCACATAAATTTACCATTTTGGTTGCTGGGTAACTATGAAAACATGAAGCAAAAATCATAATAACATGCAGCAATTTTCTCCTGACAGTGTGGTTCATAAGCGTTAACTGTCACCTATGGCTTGCTCTTTACATCTATTCTGTTGAGTTCCAGTCTCGCCCTTTGCTGTGAAGTTTGTGTGGATTTGTGTATGTCTCCCAGGCGCGGTCCTCCAGGGAATATAGGGATTCTTCACATTCCTTTAGCTAACGTCTCTCGTGTAGTTTGGCTTCATGGGGCCTAGCCAAGCAACCATCTATCCAGCCAGCCAGCCAGCCAGCCATGCAGTCAGCTGGGCTCATCCATTATAAAAGACACCCATCTGGACCTTTGTTACCCACCTGATGGTCCTCTGTGTGTGTGAGAAAGAGAAAGTTTCTAGCTCCAAAACCTCGCCTGCTAACTTCAACGCTAGCCTTTAGTTTATATAGCCACGTGCACACATGCTTTGCACCCGAATATGCACACACATGCACACACACACACTCGAAAGTCAAAATGAGGGCTTCCACATCTTGTTAAAATTCTCCACACGCTAGGTCTCCTCCCCCACTACGGGCCGACTGTAATTGCCTGAAATCCATTAAATATGGGGGAGAGAGAAAGACTGACGGAGAAAAAAATAGTGGAAAGGGAAAAGATCCAGCAAGAAAACAAAGAGAAAGCTGTTCTGGCAGTTTGTGAGCTCACATGTGTTTTTCAATAGTCAAAAGTTAGATTATTATTAAAATGTAACTTGGAAAAAAAAGTTGAAAAGTAGGAGGAGGGGTAAAGTTGGATCGTGACCAGAGGTTTTGAGAGCTTGGACTTTTGGAGTGAGCGAGGAGGAGGTGGGTGTATGTGGGCGTGATACAAAATATATTCAACTTTTACTTTTTTTTCTAAACTTCAAATAGGCGGAGGGCACAGGGCCAGAGAGCAAAACAAAGCGTTTTGATTTGGCTTTGAGGAGAAGTTGAAAAAGCAAAGGTTGGGGAGAGGCGGCGGTCTGGGGAGTTTGTGCTGCGTCATTAATGCAGTGGTGTTATCGGATGAGAGGGAGGCTGGTTTTAGGGGGGACACCGTCAGGAGGGGGCTGATGTCATTTAGTTTAAAAAGCCACGTGGAGCTTTGGCCCATAGACTTGATGTTTTGAAATGTATTTCTCAACCCTTGACAATTCTAGCTTAAAGTAAATAGATAGTACAATGGACTACTACTACAATTTAAGTACTGTATATATTTGTATACTTTAGTTCTTGTGGGATTTTCAGCCCTTTGAAGTACTTCCATTGACTTGAGGAAATTGCTGTAAAACTAAATATGCCGATATGAGAATTTATCATTTTTGGACAAAACTGTAGCCATAAAGTTTGTGCTAGTCCAAAGTCAGGATAAATTAAGAGGAGCTGGTCTGGAAGGGCATCTGATGTAAAATCTTTAGCCAAATTATCTGCATTCAAATGAAATTGCATTATTTTGCCACATTTTGCCACGATATGGTATAAATTCAGTCACGATAACAAATTTTGAAGCCTGATATATTGCCACAGAGGAATATCACGATAAACAATAATATTGAAACTACTTTATGCTGCAGACAGAATAAAAATATAAAGCAGGATAATTCTGTTAAACCATTTAATACAGTATCAGTATAATAAATGAATGAGCAAATAATTAGCTTTTCATCCCTCTAGAGCTCAAATCTTTCCGTATTAAAAAAAAAAAAACTAGCAGAAATACACACGTTAAATATTGAGCCCCAAAATATATTGTTCCAGCTTTCATATATTGAACCGTAAGTTGATATAGTGATTACAGTGTCAAGCCCAGTAAAAATATATTAATGTCACTGTATTTCATTGCTTGCTATTAGTCATTCAGGTGCATTGTTTATTCAGTGTTTGCTTTTCGTGTATAGCTTATATAGTCTCACAATGCACCATGTGATGCAACAACTCAACCTGGAAACATTTAACTTAGAAACGGCAATAGCAGTGTAACGTCATCGCTCGCAGTCAGATAACCTCAGCTCACCCCCGGTCAGCTGTAGGACAAACAGCCGTGGAGAAGAGGGTCCGGATGGGGGGGCTCCGCAGTGAGAGTTCATCCCCATCTGGAGCATCTGGAGGGCGAGGAGGAGAGAGGCAGAGGGGTACTGTCCCGTTTGAAGAAGTGCCCTGTCGGACGGAAGAGCCTGGGAAACTGCCTCTCTCACCTTTCAAGTCCTTGCTTCATCCTCCGACCCGACCGCCATTACAGGGTCAGAGGTCGTCCAGAAGAGACAGCTTCGCAATGGGCTAGTCTACACCTCATCTGTCTATGTCGAGGTGGACTGTCTTAAAAAGTATTCAGAAAACATGCTACTCAGTCTTGACTAATGCAATAAGGACTAATCTACTATAGAAAAAAAAATCATGAAAGTCCTGGAACATACATTGTGATCACATTGTAATACAATGTAATTCAAGTCAATGCAGTGCACAATCTGCCTCCTATCATCTACAAATCCTCTTGGTCTATATTTTATGCCAAATGTCCAGCCAAAAACAAACAAACAAAAAACTTACCAGTAGTGCAAAGAAAATAGACGTGATAAATATAGACCCTAGTGTCGTAATACTCGAGACCGGTCATGGGCTTGAGACCTTCCTCGAGACGGTTTTTGCAGTCTTGGTCTCGTATAGGGCTCAACCGCATTTGGACTCAGTCTTATCTCGGTCTTGAAGGTGCTTGGATTCAGTCTTTTCTCAGTCTTTAAAGCGCTTAAACTCAGTCTCGAAGTCTGACACCCAAGGAGTGATAAAATGGAGATAAATGTATAAAAACATTGACATGTATATGTGCCAAAATAGCTGTAAAATGCAAATAAATGTCAAAAATTACAAAGATGGTCATGATTTGATCTCGATGGGCCATGGTCCCAGTCTTGTCTCAGTCTCGGGCCTTTAAAAGTCTCGGTCTCGATCCTCAGAGGTCTTGGTCTTGGCCTGGTCTCGGGATGCTGTGGTCTTGGACAGGTCTTGGTCTCAATTAATTCAGTCTTGACTACAACACTAATAGACCCCCAAAAAGTCAATATAGCAATTATCACGACAGACCTATCCATCTAAACGTATTTGTATATTACGGTTAATGTGTACTTCTTATAGATCACAAACAACGTGACAATACAGGAAGAGGATCTTAAATTACTTATACTTTGCACCATTTGCAGTAGAGGAAGGAAGAGCGCTGTTTACGGACTTGTCCATCCAAGTATGCATGTCTTGTCCGGTGGTCCGTGCCAGAGAAATTCATGGCAAGTTTCAGATAGTGTGTGCCGAGTGAGGGGCCTGGATTGTCGGTGTTTGGGAGGGGGGCTGTATCAAGCAATCTCCTGGGTCTTATTTATATGTTTATGAGCAGTATTCAAGAGCTGTTATCTACTGGGTATTCCCTGTGTTACTTCTGCTATAAGTGAGAGGGAAGTGCTAGGGTGGTGGTGTATGGACCGTTTGGGCTGTTGTTTGACTTTGAGCTTGGAGCCCCATCTGTTTAGGCAATCACGCTCCCAGGTGCAGAGAGGAGAGAGGGAGCGAGAGAGGGAGAGAAGGAGAAACAGGGGAGAGGGGGGCAACAGGGGGGCTACGGAGGAACGTCCAGCTGAGAAAAGCAGGCTGGAGCTGGGACAAATGGGAGCTTGGGAAGTGATAGATTTCAGGAAGTCTTGATGAAGTCTGGACACTGTTCAGAGCTATTGCAATATGACAAAACACATTGGTTGTATCAGAGTCGTAATCTTAGTTGTATATAGTCACAGGTCCATGTGGCATACTGTATGTTTATTTAACTTTTGCAAATGTTCGCAGAGATTAAGATGGAAATGTCATTATTTAGCACTACCATGGGAAACACATTATATCTGCTGGATCACTGGCTTTGTTTTGATTATGCAATGATTGTTGACAGTTTGACTTTTATAGTTTTTATGAGCTAGAAAGCAAATGACAATCGTTGCCTTCTAGTATTGCACATTGTTTTTTAGACCAAATGCCCTTTCCAATTCTTTTTTGTCTATTATGCAGGCTTGGGACAGGCACAAACAATCCAAAATAGTGATTAGTAGTATCTAAGGGAGCATTCAAAACCCCTTGTCATATCTTGCTTTATTCTTACTAGTATCACAAAAATTACATGTTTTTCGCCCTAATCAAAACATTTACCAAAAACAGATAATTAAATCCTTGATGGCTGATAATGGCTTCCTAAGTGTGATAAGCATCCCTCGCCAAGTGTCAGGCCGATAAACAGGAGAGCTCTGGTAATTGGGGGAAATGGAGGAAAGAAAAAAAGCCGCTAAGTGGAATGAGATGAAATTGAATGTGATGGTCCAGTTACCCTGTTGGCAACGCCCAGCCCCTCTCTCCCCCCCGGAGTTTTGTAACAGGAGAGACTACAGTGGTGTCTGAAAAGTGTGTGTTTTTGTTTAGTTGTGTACATATGTGTGTTATGTTTGTGTGTATTGTGGTTGTGGGTCATATCTAAGTGGGGTTTGGAAAGTGTTAAGATTGGTTCAGCCTTGGCTCCTTCGCGGTCACGCTTGCTTGCTCTGTATCAGCCTCTCTCAGTCCAATAGCCTCCAGCCTGTGTGCTGTTATACTCTGCAGTATTGTGCAGCTTTAGCCAGGATTTTAACAAAGAATAGAAAGACACTGGACAATACGAAGCAAAATGACCACCCACAAAAGACATATTTAAAGGTCCTATATGACGCAAAACTGATTCTTGTGAGCTTTAAACCATGTTAGGATGTTGTTACCTTATCAAAAACATACTCGGATTTGTGTTTTGCTCTCCACCTTGTGATGTCATGAAGCACTAGGGTTCAAGTTAACATTACATTTACTACATTTTAACTTTTGTTCAATAGAGATTGTTAATTCCATATGGGAAATTATCCAAAAGATTCTAGTGAAAGTGTGTGGAGTTTAAAAAAACAGGGGAGCACTTCTTGTATTACCACATGACATCACAAGGTGGAACAGAAATTTGTTTATTGTATAAACATGTGTGAATGAAGCAACACAACTCCAGATATAATATTGATGAAGATACAACATTATAACTTAAATCAGAAAATAGTTTAATATGGGCCCTTTAAAAAGAAGTACAGATTTAGAAGATTTTTCAATTGATTAATAAAATCTCTATAGAAAATGGAAAATAATCAATATATTGGTACAATTTGTGGGCGAAATTGGTCTATTATGCTTATATTTCAAATTGGTACAAAATCCAATACCTGGTGATTTCAATGGTGATCAGGATTCACAACAAAATCCAACATTTTATCCTTCAGTCACTGCCAATCTTTCATGCATCCTTGTTTTAACACAGAAAACTTTGAAGTACTTTGAAACATTTGCACTTACCTTGATTGCGGTTCTTTCCAGGCGCCCCCTACTGGACATCCTCGGCGAAGATGGAGAAGAAGCTGCATGCGGTGCCAGCTGCAAACACAGTCAAGTTCCGCTGTGCTGCAGGAGGCAAACCCACCCCCAAACTGCGCTGGCTCAAGAACAACAGGCCTTTCCGCCAAGAGGACCGCATGGGGGGCTACAAGGTAAGCACAAACAAATAGAAAATGAATACAATATTACTGCTTCAGTCACAACTATATATCATGATGTATGCAGTATTAAATTAAATATCAACCCAAGATTACACATTTCTCCATTACTTTACAAAAATATGTGTGACTGAGTTTGTGAGATCCGATGGGCATGATTGACAGGTGCATAAGCAAATCAGAGACACACATGGTTCGTCCGTATCAAAACAAACATAGCTGCTCATGAGAAAAAAAAGAAAGGGAAAATAATAATATATGTTATACTGTCTAGAAATAGGCTACTTATTGGTATTTTTAGATTGTTCTACCCTTACTACAATTTCCAAACAACTACTAGTCTAATCATATTCTATTATTACCATTAGTACTATTAAGACTACTACTTTTACTACTGCAATACTAACCATCACCAAATTTTATCATCAGGAGTCTCACAGTAATATCACGGACAATATATTGAATTAGAAACCTCTTTGCTTAAATTCATTGTTATGGTGCAGCAATAGCTAAAAAACAGAGGGAGCTACACAGACCATGATCCTTTTGTGCTGTTATTAAGCACTTTTAAATCTTAATTATTTGGATTATCACAAAGTAGCATATTCATAATTTTGTTAGCCTACATAAAATATCGCACCATAAGTTGCATATCGTGAAAATATTGTATTGAGAGAATTGGATATCGTTACATCCCTAAGTAGAAGTGGGCTGCTTATTGATGTTTTTAGATTTTTGCATCCAATTCTACCCCTACTACCATTTCCCAACAACTACGACTCCTAATAATATTCTACTATTATTACTATTAAGACGTTTACTACTGCAACACTAACCGTCACCAGAACCGCTGTTACTTTACAATACATTTATAGTTATACTACTATATATTTACCAAGTATTTTCTCTGCCGCTCCTACTGCTACTGTCTCCTATTACTTTACAATACACTTTGCACTTCTGTTTTTACAAGCACCCACAGGCCCATAGCTCCTCTGTCCTCTCTTCCTCCCTTCAGTGGACAGTCAGGCTGATAGAGCAGACAGAGCAAACCCAGCGTTTCTTGTGTGAAATTGAAATTGCCCATCCATGCACCCACCCTCCTCTCCCCTCTGAGCTCTCCCTCCCCCCGTTACCTCAAATAGTCCTTTTCACTTCCTGTCAGTCGGAAACCCAAGGCCCAGTACGTGAGGGTTAAATGCTCCCAGACAGTACAGTATAGAGAAAGTAAGTCTAAAATGTGTCACGTAACTTAATCAGGGAGAACAGGTCCTGCTGGCTCCTATGTAGAAATGCTAACTTGGGTCTATTCAAATGGGGTTTACAAACACAGTCGCTAAGATGGTTAAAGTTTAAGCGGAATGGGCATCATGTTCCAGGCAACTTGCTGACATTGTGCGTGCTCAATTCGCCGTAAAGACCTCTACAAGTACAACAAATGAATAATGAATGAGCTGATGCAATGTTAATATCAACATAAATTACTTTGTACACGTCACTTAGCACTGCAGTGAGACACAACGCCAAAGGAAAATAGCAGCGCTTGTTTTGCAAATTGGTCTCTAGCGTGACGAGTATCCAAAAGCGATTTTCATGGAAAGAATAGACAGTTCAGTCAAAGTACAATTACAAACAGGCTTATAGCTAATATTACGACGTCGTTTGACTCAACTCTTTCAACTGCACAAAAGTTTTGAAATGGAACCTACCTGGATGACTAAAGGATTACGCATTCGTTTTTTTTATAGCTTTGGTAAATGGTCACATTTTTATATAGTGCTTTTCCATCTTCAACCAAGGAAACCCATTTACACACGTATATTCATACACCAGGACACAACGCCATTTTTCGATTTAAATAAATTATTTTCCATTTAACACACATGCAGTCAAAAGTCTGATCTCAGCGCCAAACCACATGCTTTTAATGGCTGTACTTGCTGTGGTCCTGTTGATTAAAAAGTCCCAAGGTGATCATTGCCAGTTACAAATAATGAACCCTGATCTCCAAAATGTGATTAATTGCACAGCTCTGCAGTTATAAGGAATAGAACTGGGTCACACAATCAGCACAACTGAGAATCACAAAAATGCTTTGAGCCTGCCGTACAAATTAAATGACAAAAACATAATTATGTGTCCCTAGAAACTAATGGTGACTAATTAAGTAATTGAAAATAAATAAATAAATAAGATATGTGGACCTAATCTAATCTCATTTTGTGTATTTTTGATCTTTCTATTTAGTCCAACCGTGCTTTTTAATACTTGTACAATCTGATGTTGAGATTCAATTACATTTCTCATTTTAATTCCCAGGTACGAAGCCAGCACTGGACCCTGATCATGGAGAGCGTGGTGCCATCAGATAAAGGCAACTACACCTGTCTGGTCGAAAATGAGTTTGGATCCATCAACCACACGTACACGCTGGACGTAGTAGGTGAGTACACAAAGGCGAAGTGCAGAACTAGTGTATTTTAAATTGTGTGTAGCAGTTCAAAGCTTTACTACGCTTTCCTTATGCATTCTGAGCATCAGTTTATGAGCGCTTTTCACAACTTTCAAAGCGAAGTTTTCTCATCACGGTAATCCTAATGACAACTAGCATGCTAACAGTGCTCTTCCTGATTCTCTGACTTAATAATTAGCATGGAGACAGGACACAGCGGTCTTATATTGACAGCTTTTAAAATATACCTGTAAATACACTTTAAACAGCTGTCCGAAGTGTGTGCGAGCGGAGAGCCCGCATAGTGAAACTCCAGTGTTTATGGCTTCATTGTTTGAAGGCCCAGGTGCACTAAAGAAGCAGGTGCAGGTCAAGCAGTGGAGCCAAGTCACTGTAAAAACTCACATGTCAACAGCTTGAATGCAGTTTCATATTAAGACCTCAGTTATGGTGGGAAATGGACCTTTGCAGAGTAAATACAAATGTCTTACTGTTCAAAGTGTTCACTGCTCAGTAATTATTTTGGAGTTTTAGCAGCAGCTGTGTGGTTTTAGTACAAAAAAAACAGGCCTACATGTGTGACAGACATTCTAAAGTTAAATCATGTCTTTCTTTTGGTCTGTCATAGCTTTAAAGGGGCAGTCCGGAATTTTGGACCTCATTTCCAAGTTAGCATAGCATTAGCATAGTTAGCCTGCCACTAAAAACACACCACTTACCTGCGCCACAAAGCACCCGAAGCAAATCTATTATTACATCAGACTATTAATGTAAATGTCTGTGTCGATAGAATAATTTTAGAAGTAAAACCAATCTAGCATTTGAAGGATTTATGTTTGCGCAGCAGCAGTGATTTGTACTTCCTGATAGAAAGCTTGGCAGTGGCGGACTGATATCTGAGAAAATAGTCCCTCAACATGCAACGATTCATGTGACGCAAGGTTAGTTTTATTTCAAACCTTATTCTATCAACACAGACATTTAAACTGACAGTCTGGTGTAATAATAGATTTGCTTTGGGTGTTTTGTGGAGTGGGTAAGACTGTTTTTAGTGGCAGGATAAACTATGGCCATTGACTTGCACTAGCCTAGCACCAGCGACCTCTGCAAATACAAGGACTGGATTGAATATTTAAAAAAGTGTCTCCACACATCTCCAACACTCTGGCTCACTAGGAAATGAGGTCCTATGTCCAAAATTTTGGCCTGTCCCTTTAACATTGTAATAGAAGTATTAGTAGTAGTTTTAGTAGTAGTAGGAGTGGTAGTAGTAATGTCTGTGACAGTACGTGAGACAGACTACCTTCTTTCTAAAATTGAACAGTCTATCTTTAAAATATTTTGGTCTCTACTAGCTTTAGCAGCAGTCGGTGTAGTAGTAGTGCTAGTAGTAGTAGTAATAGTAGTAGTAGTAGTATTAGTAGTAGTAGTAGTAGTAGTAGTAGTAGTAGTAGTAGTAGTAGTAGTAGTAGTAGTAACCAACCAATCAGAGGTCCAGTTTTATGCAGGCACGTGATTGGTCAAAGGTTGAGTCACTGAAAGGTCATTGTCATCTTTTCAAACAAACGCTTTCTCTATAAAACCAACATAACTATACTATAATAAGTAAACCCTAAAAAGGTACCATTCTGCATTTAATATGACAATCCTTTCTCTATAAAGAAGTAAAAATGCAAAACTTTTAAAATGGTTTCACACACATCATTCTGCTATCATCAGCACTATTCCACAGAGTTCAGAACCAACCCACTCAACCTGTCAACCCGACCTTTGGAGCCCGAATGCAAAGAGACTTTTTCTGCCCTGTTTGCAAAATCAATACACGTCAGTTTACAAAAGAAGAAGGATTGTGATAGTAAATATGTGTACTATGTCTACTATGAGGCCAAGTAACCTCCCTGACCCTATCCTGCAGATTAGACTTTTCACTACATCGGCCTCATTTGAACTTACCTGGCCATCAAAACCAGACGCTTTGACAATACTTTACAAAGACGTTTGAGTCTACAATCTTATCATGTCTCCCTTGATTTCTGATGGGCGTGATTGAGAGGCGAATGAACCAATCAGAGAAATACATGGCCTGGTTGTGTCAAAACAATCACGGCAGCTTCCAAATAGAGAAGAAAACAAAACAAAACACATGATTGAGAAACAGCACTGATTTCTGCAGAAAAAACAAGCAAAGCACTAATCTTAATATGCGTCTGATATTAAATCGGTTTTAGCTAGTAATTAAGGATGTACTTTAAAATATGGCAAAGGTTCTGTCATTTCTCTCAGTTATTTTAATTCCAGTCTGAACCACACAAATTCTTTCAGACCTCAGTGTAATGCCTTCGTAAGTGACCATAGGGAACTTTTTTTGAACAAATGGAGGAACATAAAGTACAATACAGAACATACCTGTACTTAAGGCTCACTCCTGTATAGTCTTATAGTCTTTAAAGTGCTCAGTCTGAAGCATACATTTCTGCTTTTCGTTGAGTTTTATTGGCGACAGAGCAGTAAACCCCTTCACGTCTGGCTCCACTGCCGCTGCCCCCTGCACCCTGTAACCTCCTGTTTTATTTCAATCCATTATTCCGGGTTGAGAGAGGGAGAAAAAAAGTGGAGAGAGAGAAAGAGAGCGAGGAGGAGAGAGAGAGTAAGCAGTTCTTATCAGTACTCCTGCCCAAAAGTTCAGTTATCTAACCTACACCTAACCAGATTTTACTATGAAGAAAAAGTATCTGAACATATAACTTGTATAATATAACATATAACTTAACTACCGATTAACAACTGAACTTTTAAATGGGAAGAAAAATCCCTCAAAAATGTTGCTTATACCCATGAATAATCAAACTTGCGATTACATTTTCTGATATTTCAAAGATCTCCCCTCTCCTTCTATTAACCCTATTAAGTCTTAACACTGGCTCTGATTGGCTGAGCGGGGCTTTGTTTGTTGACCCGTACCAACCTGTAGATGCCACTCTGATCCTGAGCAGGGAGGTTACCCAGAGTTCACTGGTCTCACATGGGACACATTGAAAGCCCCAGGAGGACTCATGCTCCATCACTCCACTGTCAGCAACAAAGCAACTATCTAAATAATGACTGATTAGTTTAAACCGTGACACCAGGACTGCAAGCAACAATACTTCAAATTAATACATAAACCAACTAGCTAACTAACTACACACTTCTGAATTCATCCATTGTTACTATTTCAAATTTTTTCAAAGTTTTACCATTTAAAAAGCTTAATTTGAGCACAGTTTTTTTTTTCAAAGTTGTGTTTCTTTGGAACACTTTTGGAACACAATTTTAAAGGCACTGTACACGAAAAACAGAACTAGTTCATTCTAAACAGTTTGCAACGGCCTCTTACAGCATCTTAATTTTTTACTGTGAAGAGTTTAGAAGTGCTTTTTACTTTCAGAGGCCAGAGTGGAGTTTTGCCGTCGCTGTAAATGACTAGCATGCATCAGCTTTACTTCCTGGTTCCTGTGCGATAAATATGCTTTATAATTAGATGCAAACTAAGTACACCCCCTTTAATGACCATGCTACTACATTTTAAAATAAGTAAATTAAACTATTCTAGGGACTAATTGATCAAATGTACCAAAGTCTAGTTTTACCCCTGGACCACCGCCTGGGATTTCCAACTGTTTCCCATTCTTTTTGCTGACCCTTTTCTCCGCCAGTCTCCAAAGTTACCCGTTAGATGGGCAGAGCTGAATCATTTGCACTGACACATAAAATGATATGAGCCCGAGTGGTTTTGACTGTGATAAGACGGAGCGGTGTAGGAGGAGAAGTCAGTGAAGCAATAAGCACGACCAACGCGAGGAATGCACAGCCAGGAGGAGCGGGAGGAGCCAATATCTGACAGGTTTTATAAAGAGGAGACAGGCAGACAGACATATGGACTGTACATGGGCTGATACCTCTCCTATCTCCCTTCACACAGCTAATTCTTCTGCCTTTTTTAGACTTTAGACCAACAACACTGCTCTGAGCATCACTTGACTGAAATAGACTAAGGCAATATAAAGGAGAAAAAGGTTAAAAAGAAGAGAGTACTGTACAAATGTCTGAATATAAATGAATAAACCAAACTAATATAGTTAGTTACTACCGAGTGTCCTTAATAGTTTTATAAATAGATAGATAGGAGGACCTTTATTTATCCCGAAAAGGGGAAATTCCAATCCTGGAACACACAGTTCAGGTTCTTTTCAGCAGGAGAGATAAATAAACAATAAAAATAGACTTCTAAACATTTTAACTAGAAAATCAGAAATATTTTGAACAGCCTTAAGATACTAAAATACAAGTGTGTGCTCATAGTAAAAATGTAAGGCTACAAAACTCATGTACAGTGTAGCATGTGTGATATTTGGATTGCATTATCACAACTGTAAATTAGTATTACGCAGTTCAGCCCTACTCAATACTATAAATACTAAGGCTGCTCATTCTTCACCCATTTTTAGCCTGGTTCTTCTTAAGCCCACCTCCTTTTCTATTTTCTCCATCACTTCTCTTCACCATCCCCCTGTCTTGACCCACCCCCGACCTCATACTCCACCGACTTAATCCGAGCACCCACCTCAGGCTTTGTTTTGGAAAGCCATTGCACTGCCCCGGGCTGAGTGATGTCATTCTGGGCCCAAGGGTGGGGGTTGGTCGGTCGGTCGGTCGGTCTACTATGGGTTGGGGTCCGTTTGAAAGAAGGCCATTGTTCAACAGGTCGAGTATTTGGATTCACCGGCCAAATGTTTAGCCTGTAAAAGAATGCAGGTGGTGAAAGCATGTAGGGCAGCTTGGTATGTTTCACTTTTCAAACTTCAACACTGTTTATGTCAACCTCTCACATGCAGCACACAGAAAAAGGAGCCTAGTATGGAGAAAATTCTTATTTACTACTACTAATACTATTTACTATTACCATATAAAGGGTAAAAGGTGGTATATAGGTGTTATTGCTATATAGACATTTCTTAGTATGGCATTAAACTTATCTCCATTGAGACGAGTAGGTGATGCCAGGCCAAGTTACAGATCCAGATCAGAAGAGAGGTAGGTGAATCCTGAATAAAAACACCTGTAATTGAATAAATGCAAGCTACATGTGTTTAATGCTATACTGGGGAAAATTCTAGACAAAACTATGAGATCTGACATATTCCCAGTTACTTTAATATATTGTAATCATAATTTATACTATCGAATATTGCATCTTTTCTCATCTATTGCAGCCCTACACTACTTTCCACCTTCGCACATACATCATACTTGGCCAAGCTCCTCCCACTGCATAGTTTTGAAGTACTTTTACACATAAATGGCCCTGCCTCTTGTTTTGTGTGAAGCTCAGTGGGAGTAGAAACACATTCCAAGTCCAGAATGTGAAGTCCTGTTTTACGCAGATAAAGTCGCCGAGGCTCAAAGAAAAGCTCTAATGATTCCCTTTTTATTACTTTGTACATCTCGTGCACATTTTCAAGCTTTATTTTGACGCTTATGAAGACATAACAGGAAATGAACGGGAGAATAGAGTCAAAGCCGAATAGATCAGCTCTGAATAATATGTAATGTTAACCAGATATGTTTTTATTAACGGAATGTTTTGTATTTGCACCTCTAAAGTTTACTGCTCACACCACACCTCAGGATTTCTCTTGTTGTGCTCATTGCATAATATACTGCTTTGTTTATTTGAAGGTTAAGGTCAAAGCTGTTTGTGGACGCTCACATACCCACCTGTGAGACACTGCTTAGACATTTAATGCACACATTTATGTCGCGCCTGGAGGTGTCTAAAAACTCGGATCATAATGACTATGACCAATCCTCAAATGAGCTCATGCCGTTACACCTCTGCTCTGAGAAAGCAAAGGGCACAGAAACTCAACACTTTTTAACTAACTCTATGGACAAATTTGGGTGCTTTGTTTATTTTTTGTATCCAGTTTCGTCTTTTTAAGTATGGACCAAATATTTGCATCAGAAATAAAGAATAAATAAATAAATAACGAGAGGCTGTCAAAATCATCCTATATATTATATAGTAGTAACACTAAAAACTACTTGGAAATGTAATTTAATGTATCGATTTCCTTATCTCCTGATACAAATCTGACATTTGACAAGTTGCTCCTGAATTTTCTCCAACTTTTCCTTAGTCATATCTTTGAACTTGAGATAAAATACCTAAGTGCATTTGGATATCGGAAGCAACTCCTGTGTTTTAAAACCGTACATAGTGGAATGGAAGTGCTGGTTTATTTTGGGGGATTCTTACATTTATATTGGCCAACTCTGAGAACATCCATTTTAATTCTGATCCTCCATTTTCCACAGAGCGTTCTCCACACCGGCCGATCCTGCAGGCTGGACTCCCGGCTAACACCACGGTCCATGTAGGAGAGGACGCACGCTTTGTCTGTAAAGTGTACAGCGACGCTCAGCCACACATCCAATGGTTAAAACACATCACCCAGAACGGCAGTCGCTATGGGCCAGACGGACACCCATATGTTCGCGTGCTCAAGGTAAGAATACTTTTACGTTTTCATTTTGCAAGAAAAATCCTCCAACTTTTTCCAGAATGTGCAGGTGTTTCAAACTTCAAAGCTCTTCAAAAGGATTAGGCTCTGTCTTACTCACATTATCAGCTCAGGTATTTGAAATGTGCATGCTATGTCCACGCTCAGGTATACATTTTTGTTCATTTTGTTGGCGCTGTTCAGTTGATACTAAGCTTTTTGATTCAAGCTAAATTACATGTTTGAGTCTATAGAAAAAGGGGTGCAAAATATAATAATAATTTTGACTTTTTGATCTGCTTTTACTATATCTCTGTATTCAGGCAGATTTGACCTAATTACATGAAAACAAATCTTTAAATTATTATTACTTAATTACTGAAACTCTTTTGGTTGCTGATAATAATGTATAATGTTGGCCCTCATTGTAAGCCATAAATGTCCAGTGTATTTGACAGTGCACAATGTCAACACTTATTGGCAAAGCTTGCTGTTTCCTTGACTTATTTCCTCATCACATGATTAGCGCAGAAGGAAAAGGCATTTCAAAGCAAGAGACTTTTGACCAAACTGTGCATAAAACATTTTACTTCTATGTTTCTAACCTTATTAATATGAACAGAGCTCTTCTGTAGGTGGTGATTCTGGGTCTTTCGCTCTCCTCCAGCTTTTAACTGGATATTCAATGTATTTGTTACACAAGTTTGAGATATATTTATGTATGAATTTCCAGCGATCTGGCATAAACAGCACAGATGTGGAGATTCTGACCCTCACCAACGTGACCGAGAAAGACGCTGGGGAGTACATTTGTAAAGTCTCCAATTATATAGGCGAAGCAAACCAGTCGGGTTGGCTCACGGTTATCCCAGGTAAAACCATTCAAGGCTTGGTCAACCCAAACTCTCCATACTTGGTGTCCTGGGCTTCACCCTTGCCTCGCTGTGCTGTGGTCCTCCTCATGGTGATTGGTTGGTGGTCTGTTGGTGGCTCCTGGACCTTCTCTTCTCAAAAAGTGTTTATTTTTCAGCTTTTTCTATTGCAGACATCGGTAAAGCCATGGAAGTACTGTTTTGAAGCATTGTACTTTCCATGTTGTTTATTGAAATGCATGGGTTAAACTTTACTGGTATATGTTAAAGGTGATGGGAAAACTTTTTAGGCTTCATTTGGTCTTTTGTGCATACTTTTCAATATTGTAGTAGCTGCATAGACAGAAGAAATTAATGGACTAAGTCATTTGAAGTAAGAATTGGCACCAAATAACATTACAGCCTGGCCACCCAAGAAGTTTCTAGTCAAATTACAAGTTATGATTTAGTCTAGTTAGATCGTTTGGGGCTATTCCGGGACAAAAATGGATAAACATGTAATAAATCCAATAAAAATAACATTGCACAAAGCTTACTGATGCATTACTGGTTTAACAATATTGGCTTAGTGGTGAAATACACAAATATTTCAAATTTTATGTTCTAGTGTCCATTAATTCTAGCTGTCCATGTCTAGTATTTTGGGTCTATGCTTTATTGGTACTTTCTTCAGCCCTTGTAAACCCCAGCAGGCAGTGATCAGACCTCATCGATGGACACTCCCCAGATTTCTCTCATTAGATCTTTCTTGGTGTTGTGGGACTCATTTGTTTCTGTCTTTTCTTCCTTCCTCACCTTCTTCTCCTCCCTCTCTCCTCCTTCTCCTTCCCTCTCCTCAGACGGCTGGTGTTAACACTACAGATAAGGAGATTGAGGTTCTCTACTTGCCCAATGTTACTTTTGAAGATGCTGGGGAGTATACATGCTTGGCGGGTAATTCTATCGGGATCTCCTATCAAACTGCTTGGTTGACGGTGCTTCCAGGTACATATACTGGTCTATAGACTCTCTTTTCTTTCTATTATTTCATTTGTAGACATATTTGTTTGTTATAGATACACAAAAGGCATGAAGGCACGTCCCACTACCTTGAAAGAGTCTATTATTATTTCAATTTCAATTTCATCTAGGTTTTATTGTCATTTGAATTGGTATGTTCCTCGTCTAAACCTGGTTACTACTTTTTAAATAAGTGTGTTTTCCAGGTATATAAATTCATAGTTCTGGGTTTATTCATTGTTAAGTCATAGTGTTTTTTCCAGGTACATAAATTCCTAGTTCCTAGCTTATTATTTACACATCTTTTAATTCTTCAAACTCAATGTTTATGCTGCCCATAATAAGAAAAATATACAGTATATATGGCAATTCCAGAGTTTCAGAGTGTGGCCTCTCCAATACAGTTTTTGGTCATTGCAGAGAATTGAAGAGTTTGTAGTTTATCTTTATATTAAAGTAACACTGAGTAACTTTCTTGAGGTTGCATGATTCCATGGAAATAAAAGGTAAAACCATACTTCACAGAGGTAGATAGGTTTACATATGTCATACTGTGGAATATTAGAGCCAAGGAACAACATACACGCCTCTTCACTGCAATGAACACAAAATATGCCTTTATATTTGTGTATTTTTGGCTAAAAGAGCTTTAACCAAGGGATTTGACCTAGTCTAGTCCTCCGTTAGGCCCATTTTAGCTCATTAATGCTACAGTCCAGACACATGATCCTAGTAGTAAGCATATGATCCATAATTCCACTCATATCCATGGAGCTGTTGAAAACCCAGCGCAGATAAGAATGTAGTTTCCTAAGACCTGGTGCACTGAGACGGAAGTATATCTCCCAGAGCAGCTCCAGTGACTCCAGACTCCAGACTGGGACCTGCCTTTTGCCTTATGTAATATTCCTCTTCCTCACTCCTCTGGGAATATCTTTTCACTTCACATTTGAACTGTGCATGTCTGTCTGTGTCTCACTATTGCCCCATAAGTAAGACATTCCCCCACCCTGTTTCCTGGCGCTGATAATTGGCTACTTCTACAATCTTTATTTCTACTTGAAATAAAGGTAGAAAGTCATAGCTTAAGACACTTTTGAAGTTGGCTTGACTTTCACAATTATCAGAGCCAAAAATCGCAACTTGTACCATAAAATGCGTGTTGTTCAATCCTACTTTATATCCCTTGCTACACATCTGGTAGTTATTATGCTAACGTTGGCTTATACATACTTAAAGCGTACTATCTAAGTTCACTTTAGGCCAGACAGATGAAAGATGACTGTCGAATATAGGCTAAAGTAGTAAAACTGGCTTTGAGATGAGATTTTAAACAAGATTGATGTTTTAACAGTTAGCTGTCTCAATCCCGCAACATAGTCAACCCTATTATTAAGGCTGTAATTAAAACATGCTATCTTTATTTTGACTCTAAACAATAGCATATGAGGATCACAGGCCAAGCTTTTCTCTTGGGAATCATGTGTAATATTTATTGCCCCTGGCGCAGTCTATCTGCCCCACTGGCGCCTTCGAGGCTGGGGTATCTGTGTTAGTTGTGTGGTTTTTGGACACATTGAAAGAAGGCAGAGGTTGCTTCATGGTGCTTCACCTCCAGCTGGCTCTGCACAGCACTAGGGCCTGTGGTCTGGAGGCTTATACATTATGGAACAGGTCATTTTTGTCCAGCACACTTCAACTTCCTGCAGGAAGTTCAATAGGAGATACAGTAATAGAGTTCTTCTACAGAGTGCACTGTGGGTTCAGAGGGCAGTGAGGTGACCGAGCCAAGATTTATAATGTGAACAGTATGCACTCAAGGAATCTGTCCAAAATAAGTTTACTCATCCAGAAAATGTTATAAAATAGGCCTGAATTTTTGGTATTTGCCATGCAATGCAAAACCAATGCTTTAAATCCATGACAATAAATGATTTTCAAGTAGTGTTTTCTGAAATACTGAAATTTCAAACTTGATTTTTATTTTTTTATGGAAAGGTCTTGATAACAAATACAACACAAACAGAATATTTAAAATTTTTTATCTCAAAATAGTTGCTTACTTAATATTACCTTGTGGCCTAAGTCTTGGGTCTGTTCTGGGAAAGTCCAGATAGCCTAGATATCACAAACTTATCAGCGATGCTGTGTTACCATACTGGGATGCACTGTTATTGCCTTAGTATCTAACATGGAAAGTATAATAATAAAACTATATATGCCTGTATAATCTCAAGGGTACATGCTAATACTGTCTTAGTAAATAGAAAATTCATATCCGAAAGAAGAAGTCACTATTCGGACAATTTTTTCAAAGTTTTATTTTGCTTTGTTGATAGTAAAAGATGTCATAGTTTTAAAGGACACTATACTCCCTTGTCTAACCCTGTTCCATAATACACAAGCCTCTTAGATTTGCCCTGAACATAGACATATACACTGGCAGTGTAGATGAGTCACGATTATGGATCTGTTTAGACTGGTCCTTCCCGCACAGACTATGATAGAGTCAATGTAAGCATGCTGGTACCATCAAAGAAAAACAACGCTAAAATCTCTGTTTAGCTAGCCTGCCCAGTGATTACATTCAGTCATCTTTAGTACAATTTGTCTATGCATCGCCAACCTGCCAACCAGATGTGTTTAGAAAGTGGAGTTTGTGAAGCATTTACCTGTTATTTCTCACTCTTTCTTCTAACTCTGAATCCATTAGCGCACACGGATAGCCCAATAGGGCCCATTCCTCCAGACTACGTGGAGATTGCCATATACTGCGCGGGGGTCTTCCTGATCGCGTGCATGGTGGGCATCGTGGTGGTGTGTCGGATGAGGAACACGGCGAAGAAACCAGACTTCGGAGGGCAGCCGGCGGTCCACAAGCTGAGCAAACAGATCCCCCTGCGCCGCCAGGTAACAGAAAGTAGATAAAGAGTTCCAACGGCATCTAACACCTCTAGAGGAGATACAAACACACAAGTAAATATGTAGGCAATTTTCAATATTATCCTTCAAAAATAAATAAATACATAAAGAAATCTAACTATAAATTAACAAGTAATTGAAAACACAAAACTAGACTGAATTAATTTGCCAAGTTCAGATTTCAAATGTATGTTATGTTTAGAATAATAAGTTGGAAATTCTAAAAAGTATTAGTCAAAATGTTGCAAATTTGTGAAAACCTATATTTTAGCATCTTATTTCTCTTTTTTTGCGTCATTTATAATGTCACATAATATGCCACATGAACATATTTTAGTCCATGCTGACAAAAAAGCTCATAAAAAAAGTGTTTATCATGATCCTTTACAAAAAGACAAAAAAAAATCTTGTTAAATCATTAGGTAATCAACGATTTTATTCGAATCTAAAATCAAAACACTTCTCGCCTCTGTGCACTTAGCTTTGGTATTTTAAACAATACACCTCCAGGTATATTTAAAGAGGCATGCATTTCTGAGCAAGTTAGCACTGCTGCCCTGGAAGATTGTTGTCTATGTTTGAGCACTGCTTCTCCCTCAAGGGAAATTAAATCTACACTCCAAAGGCACAAAAGTGTTGGATTACTTTCTGTGGAGGGGCTGCAAAGAATCCTGATGTCAAGGTAAGGTTAGACAGACGAGCGCCCAGATAAGTCCTGCTGACAGTGGTCCAAGGAGTCGCACCCATCAGTCTAAATAATTGTTTTTAACTTCACTTTGGTGTTTACTGCCCTAGAGGAACATTCTTTAGAAGTTTAATGAACAGTGTTAAGACCTATAAACTAAATCCTATCTAAATCGGCTCCTCTAGAATTGCCTTGGTTTTGAACTGTGCGTGAACCCAGACTTTGGTGATCAGCCATTATTTCTTCTATAGGTTTCGGCGGATTCGAGTGCATCTATGAACTCAAATGCACCTTTAGTCCGAATAACAACGAGAAGAAGTTCTGCGCACGACGACCCCATACCGGAGTACGACCTGCCCGAAGATCCACGCTGGGAGTTTGCCCGAGACAGGTAAAAGTGTTTTCTAAATGTGGTTAATTATGTATGTAAGGGCATAATAGTAAATATTTAAAAGTACATTGTGTAGCTTTCCTGGTAGAGTGTTTGCTTCCTGCTCATCTCCATGTTTGTCTAACTAGGGATGTAACGATATCCAAATCTCTCGGCACGATAATATCACGATATGCATCTCACGGTACGATATTTATTGTGATATTTTGAAGAGGCTAATATAATTGTAGATAGGACACTTTTTTGCTTTTAAAATACCTTGACAAGATTTTGGTGTGAATTATTTCCGTCATAATCCCAAGAATTCATAAAAACATCTATCTTCATGTTGTCTGCACTGAAATGAATCATGGGATATGTAGTTCCCTATGTTATAAGCTGTTGCTACTATAAAACCATGCATTTAAGCAAAGGAACTTGTAATTTGATATATTGTGACAGTCCAGGATATTATTGTGAGACTTTTGACGATACAATATCATGATATTTCGGTTATTGTTACATCCCTAATTCTTACTCTGAGTGGGCTTAACTCAGTTTGGTAATATGTGTACTTTTCCATAGCTAAAACCATAAATTTATGTTTTTTGGTTCGACAAATGCAAAATAATCTGGCCTAACATTTCTATCTCTCATAAAATCAGATGGGTTTTTCAGTCACACCCCCATGACTAAAAATGAGCGCACTAATCTTTATATAGCTCAGCATACTCTAAGCCTTAGTATTAAAATGAAAAGGAGCGTATATAGACCTATGCACAATGACTAGAAGCTTTACAAACGTGCTGCATCATGCAAAAAGTGTTGTTGGCGTTCTCTCTACACCCTGATCCACAAAGCCAACACTGTTTATGAAAATGACGTAATAATACAGTTGCAGGCACACCCATATTAGTACAACAAGAATGTGTCTGGTCTGATCTCTGTTACATTTAAAACTCTTGTGCTCTGCTAATACGCGAAGGCCAAATGATCACTTACTACTACAGTGATGCATGCCCCTGTTTATACATAAGTGTGTCCTGACTTGGCGCCCGTACTGCCTCTGCTCTCTCATAAACAAACTCCTTACACTTGCACTGCTGCTGGTAAGGGATGGTGCTGCGGTGTTAATTAATGGTTAGCGCTGCTGCTAGCTTTTGTCCGCGGCGTGTTTGGGCTCAGTGTGTTGTTCATACCAGAAGAATTCAAAGTGCTGAGGTTTCACTTAGTCACAGCTACGGCAGCAGCCAACCATGAGCTTCAAGGCTGGATTTAATAAAACAGCAAAGGTTACAGCAGATTAAAATCAGAGGTGGAAAGTGACTTTACTTCTACTGTTACAATTGATAATACTAAATACTAACTTTTATATTTTTACTTGAGTACTGTGGGGACTACTATTTTTAACTAGTTGTGAAAGCATCACCAGTAGTAGTAAAGTAGGCTAGTGGTTGAAGAAAGGTGCTTAAAAATGCACTGTGTAACTTTTCTAGAGGAGGGCATGCAACTTTCTTGTCTCCATGGCTGTAAAGTTCTAGCCAGGTTGGCGCCACCTAGTGCCTCGGCTCAATTTTATTTCTCTCCAGCAATTAGGTCAGGAATCGGAATACACTAGACCGTTTGCAAAAACCCTGGAAGTAAGAGTTCGGGCACCAGTGAATCAGCGAAGAGCCATATATTCTCATTCTATGTTGGCAATGATTTCAAGATCGAGGATTTAAAGCTGAAACAAAGAGGATGTTTAGTGAATTTTATTAAGGGGAAAGACGTTATTGCCCTTCTTCCTACGGGATTTGGGAAAATCTTAACATACCAGTTAACTCCGTTAGTGGCGCATTACATACGTCATGATGAAATTGCAGCGATTGGTTAAATAAAAAAAGTACGTTGAGCGAACGAATCCTAACGCTGCGAGGTCAGACGGTTTCTACAAAGTGAAACCAGCTGATGAGTCAGGCTAAATAGCAGCAGTAGTAGTAGTAAAGTAGGCGAGTGTTTGCAGAAAGGTGCTTAAAGATGCGCTATGCTACTTTTCTAGAAGAGGGCCTTCCACTTTCTTGTCTCCATGGCTGGAAAGTTCTACAGTATAGTATTAAACTTATCTTGTAGTATTGTAGTCATTTTTTCTTGTTCAAAAATGCTTTGGAAAACATACACACATTATAATACATTATAATTGTGACAGACCTCGCCTCTTCCCAGATCTTTCTTGTAAACTGGCGTGGTTGTGTAAGAGAAATGTTTAAATCAAACATATAAAGCAATAACATCTCCATGGAGACAACAAGGTGGTAGATGCATAGTACACCATTAAAGTTGTAAAGATGGTAATAGTTGCATTGCTTTTTTTTTTTTAGTTTAGTTGAGTTATTTGCATGTGCAGTATTATATGTATAGAAAGTAGTACATAATATTTTGGAGTAACAATAACAAAGAATAGGACGACTTGTGTTTAACATTGAGCGCAGTAATAAAATGGAAAACAAAGGCCTGTCTTCGGTTAAGAGACTGACGTAAAATAATATCCTTACCACCCCATCAGTTCTGATTAAATTCATTTCTGATGTGGTAGTTTCGCTGTGAATAGCATTTGGGTTCAGTTTTGTTCCACAGCCATGAAACGACAGCCATTGGAGGGATGTTTTGCTTGAACTAAATAAATCTTGTCTCTTTGGGTCTTTATTCCTGTCCTGTCATCCCCGCGCCAGAGGGATCATGTTGGGATAGCAGAACACAGAAGAATGCTAACGTTAGCGGTTTGTGCGAAAGGGAAAAATAACATTGATTATGTGTGGCTGGACAGATAGAATAGCTAGCATTGAGCGTGCCGAGCGGTGAGGACAGACGGGGGATTGTGTTGCCATAGCCGGGCGCCGGGCGTAAGGCTCTAGGCATCACAGCAGCAGCTCCACTGTTGACATAGGCAGCCCCATGTGCATTTAAAGCCAGAACCAACACATGTCAGTCACAAGGAGAAAAAATACACAGACCAGGGTGCAGTGTGAGGCTAGAGGTCAAAGGTGACAGGACTATGATTGAGCATGTGATGGAGGACGAGAGATGTGGCAACAGGAAGTAGAACAAAAAAGTCACTGTTAAACGCCACATTAATATTTAGTACTGCTATCCCAAATGTAAAGTATATATAAATAAAAAAATAATTAAATATGCACTTTATCTATCTTTTCTGATAGCGTTCACAGCTTGCTTGTCTCTATGGAATTGTTATGCTTTGTTTAGGGTGACCAGATTTTCCAAAACTCATCAAAAACTGGGACACCCTCGGTTTAAAATGGTTGGTAATAATACAACTGCATAATTAAGACAAACTGTTCTTTTCTGTGCCCATTCATGACTAACGTGTGAGTCAGAATAGTCACATATTCTTTGTGTTTTGGTCATTTTTAAGCAGCTTTTCTGAATTTTACCTCAACAAATGACAATTTATGCCTCACTTTACTGTTGGCATGTCTCAGATTTGTCAAAAAATAGGGACACCCGGGCCATTTCTTGTAAAAAACTGAGACAAATCAATAGTTTTGGATAAATCTGCTGGGACAGGGGACACAGGGCTTAACACAGGGATTGTCCCGGGTAAATAGAGATGTCTGGTCACTCTAGCTTTGCTCAGAATGTTACATAGTATGGCATTAAACTCATCTATTTCCATGAAGCAAAGCAGGAGTTTCCACCAAGCCATTTTAAAAGCTACATCTACGGAGAGTCAAGCCTGCTCGCTATTAGAATGCATGTTTGTAAAGGTATTCCTGAATGATAAAAACACCTGTAATGTAATAAATGCAAGATAGATGCATTTAATGGCATACTGTGGAACATACCTGGCAAAGCAACAACATCTCCAAAGTTTCACTGTTGCCAATATAACTAAACTTCTTTGTGATCAGCTAAACAGTTCTTTTTCGGACCTTGAGCGAACCACTGAGAACAACTTTTATTTTATACTTTAAACTTTCCAGAAAATACATTAAAAACTCCACAAACCACAATACAGCAGCGTCCTTGTTTCCAAATCAATCATGAAACCGTACACTCGTAATGCATGTATCAAGGTCTTTCCAATAACCTATAATGCATGTGTCCCTGAGCATGCCAACGTAGGAGAAACAATTTATAAAGGTATATAAGCTTTTGTAATTGCATACAACCTTGGCACGGTCTGCAGCCACTACAACTACCACACATACCATTGCAGTGAAACAGAGCAGGCAATCCAGTAAAAAAAAAAAAAAAAAAAAAAAAAAAAAAAGGCCAGGGCGGGGTGGTCATGGCACGGTGCCTAGTTTCATTCCCTCTCTTAATCTAACCTGTTTATTCTGCACAGTAATGAATCAATGCCCGGCCAGTTGAGGTCAATGGCTTAAGCTTACGTCTCACTTTGTCTTTTTGTCTTGTGTTTTGGATACAGGTTGACACTGGGCAAGCCCCTAGGTGAAGGTTGCTTTGGCCAAGTTGTAATGGCAGAGGCTCTTGGCATTGATAAGGACAAACCCAAGGAGGCCGTAACCGTTGCAGTCAAGATGCTGAAAGGTAAGAGCATTTCCCCCAGTCAGACAGAGTTACCATAGACTGTAATATAAACGGCTGGCATGTGCTGGGACAGAGATATAGACCCATTCAGATACAGAACTGCAAAGAGGGCAGTGTCATCAGATCTCAAGTGGACAGAACACAAGTTTGGATGGGTGGAATTATAATTTAACATGGCAAGAATTATAATAAAAATATATGAAAGTGCATTTGGAGTACACTCAAGTAGTCATTTCATGCAATATTGATTGATTATAGGTGTCTTTGGGGTCTTTCACATTGTACGTCTCTAAATCACCACAGCCAATCATCTACTAATCCTAACCCTATTCATTTTGGTGCCAATTTCCCAAATAATTAACACATTTATCTAAGTTTTCAAGTGTTTAAAAGTACACTGGCTGTCTTTTGTGCCTAGACTTGCAACCTGTATTTTAATGTGAATGGACAATACAATGTAATATGCAGTTATACTTATGTGCATGTCACCTATTTGACTCATGAAAATTGCTTTGGCTATAAATTTCTTCTGTAAGGTATAAATAATATCTTTCAACTATTCAAATACAGTCATTTTACTGCCAAAAAATCCTTTGGTGGAGTCACCTGGTTGTCTCCATGGAGATTGCAAAATTTTATGCAATTTTGTGAAACATTCCAAGCAAAACAACATAATCTCCGTGGAGAAATAAAAAACGCACACATCCTAACTTCACTGCTCACATGTTGCAATATTATTTGTTTAAAAAATCAGAAGCATTAAGTCCACTAGTAGGCCTATTATTACCGTGTTTACACAGTAGTTCAGACAATACACAAGGAAACTAAAATAAAATGAATTCTATTAAAATACAAGGTGTGTCGAGCTGGATTCATGTGTCAGTTTGGAATAGTGTCTTTAAGGAGACCATAGATGACTCCATTATGAATTGTGGGAAACCTGAGTGGACTTTACATGTGATTTATGCTGCGGTGTGTGTGTGGGTGAGTGAAGGGCGAGGGAGGGGGCGGGGCTGTCATTATGATTGGTTATTGGTGCTTGCTGAGTGAGGGCAGGCAGATTGGGTGAGAGGTAAGAGTTTGGGGCGGTCACATACCTGACCCAGAGCTGCAGCTGGTTCAAGCTCAGCACAAAGAGGCGAGTCAGTCTGAAGGGACTGAGGCACAGGGAGTAACTAACTTTGGTTAGTTTAGTTTATTTATAAAGAACATTTAAAACATCTGATGCACATCTGATAGCAATCTGATAAAAATACAAGACATGCAAAAACAAGCTAAATAAAATTTCTACAAATGTTAGATATTTAGAAGATATTTTGTTTTGACTTTTAATAAATTAATTAAGCGTTGATTGAAAAGAATTCTCAAATTATAGTGTGATAAATTTATGAACCAGTGGTGATCCAGTATCTTGGATTTGTTCCATGACTCTTTTGTTTACCTTTTTAGTTTGTTTTGCTAATGCATCTCTATGGACACTGTGCACATCTTGCCAGTAAAGCTCTATAATTAATTATAGTACCTGTAGAATATTATGCAAATCCATCATAGGTTATATTAATTTCCTAATACAACAATTACAACCTATTTTTTATATTCCAACTTAAATCCCATTAAAATCAACAACAACGACCTCTGCGACTACAGCAACTCTGGTGCTAGCACATAACACTATTTGTCTCAGAACTCTTGAGATTTATTATAGATATTTATTTATATAAGTAGAATACAGAGACATTGTGCTCAAATACATAGACTGATAGAAATGGCAAAAGTAAAAAAAAACAAAAAACATACCAAGACAAGGAGTAACTCGAGCTAATGTTCCCAGCAGATCTACCCAAACTTGTATTAAAGTTTTTGATAAGAACCGATAAGAACAGACTTTACTAAGTAAAACTAGGTCATCTTACTGTTTGCTTTTCTTAGGCAGACATTCATGGGATGCCATTTTGAGTTCCTGAAAAGAGCCAGAAGATAATGAATCTAGATTGAGCATCTTTAATTCCTGCTGCTCTGCCCTCAGTGCTGAAAGCTGTCCTCTGTAGTTTGTGTGAGCGTGAAACTTTAGCCTGCAATGTCTGTCAACCACACTTAATCAGGCACCTCCAAAACAGGGTGATGTCTGACAAAGTGCTCTGTCCGTGGGTTAAAGGGTGATCAGATTAAAGCTAGTTTGTTTAATGTTATGTCTAATTATCCTTCTAAATATCTATATCTTTGTTTTGTAGATGATGCCACAGAAAAGGACCTGTCGGACCTGGTCTCAGAGATGGAGATGATGAAGATGATTGGAAAGCATAAGAACATCATCAATCTTCTAGGGGCATGCACACAAGATGGTAAAGGAATCCATTTACGTAATAGTAAACTGTAATATAAATGATGTGGGACAATGATTTTTAGCCTTCATTCCAGGTTAGGTGTCCCTCATATTGCCATGAAATAAAGTAGAATAACTAGTTCTATGATTAGTTAACATAAACACACGTTTAGTTATAAAATACCAACCATATCTCAATTCTGTAAATTAAACTGCAACCAAAAATAACTATTGAGAAGAATATTAAACACAAACTTCTGTACATCTGTCCAATTTCTTCCATTTCAGTTGGTAAATTGAGAAACAGTGAAATTGTACACATTTGTTTGAGCCGTTTGTAGTACTGATGTGGACTTGGTTTGGTCCTGCTTGGTCCTGGTTAGTCCTGTTCCAGTCCAAGTTTAGTTTCTAGTCGAGTCACAGTTAAGTCCCAATGTTGTTGTCGTTCGTGTAGCCTAAGAGGTGTGATCCTAGAAGCTTACAGAGTTTATTGTTCGTGCACTCCATTGAAATAATTTGCGCAATTTCTTCACAATAGGGACAGCATTATAGAATCTTAATGGTGGTATTAACATTGTGTTGTGTCCCATTTAGGCCCTCTGTACGTGATAGTGGAATATGCCTCTAAAGGAAACCTCCGAGAGTACCTGAGAGCCCGCCGGCCTCCCGGGATGGAGTACTCCTACGACATCGCCCGAGTCTCAGACGAACAGCTCACCTTCAAAGACCTCGTGTCCTGCACTTATCAGGTGGCCCGTGGCATGGAGTACCTAGCATCACAGAAAGTAAGAAAGAGATTATTATTACCGTTTATATTCTTGCTTTTTGTTATTATAATATATTGTGATGTGTGAGCTAATGTGTCCAAATAATTTCGCTTTTGGATCAATAAAGTTCGTCTAAGTCTAAGTCTAAAATTGGAGGATGTAAAAACCACTATTCACTTCAACAACTGCTCAATAGGTTGATTAAAATGCGTCATTTTTATATTTAGACTCATGCTGAGACTAAATCCAGAACCAAACTTTCACTAAGGACTAAATCAGTACAAGGACAAGAACAAACCAGGTCTACATAAGGACTAAACTGGAGCTCAAAGGACAGAGTGTGAATTCATGAGTCAGCAGGACACATACTGTACTTTACTTTATAAATACATTTGTAGTTGCCTATAGAAAAAAAAAAATTCAACATGTTTTGTGCATTTTCAACTAAGCGAACTGGAAATATTCAGAGATGAGTGTTGACGACTTCTTATTAGTACACAGTATTGTTCATTTATTTATTAATCTAGTTTCGCTGTTATCTCATCAGAATTTCCACATTTTCTTTCTTTATTCTTTATTTGTCAGGAACTATTTCCACAGAGAGGCTAACCACTCTGCCACTGCTACTCCTCCCACCCAAAATCTTTTCCCCATGTTGATTTCACATAAGAAAACAACACCCTAACCTCCTGCCCATCTTTGCTATTGTTCCCCATCGGACTACAAAAGCCCCTCTGTGTGGTAGTAGCATTAGACAGTTTTCACAATGGGGGGGGCAGTCATGTTGTCTATTGTATTTTGCTGAGGAATGCGACAATATGAACACGCAACACATAAGCACACATGCGCGTTCGGCTGTGCTTACTGTATGCTGAAAATATGCCAGGAATTCCTACCTATCTCAACATGTTAGTCAGTGAAGTCATTGTAACTTCAGGTTGCAGAATGGACATGTGATGAGTTGGTGGCTTGCATCATAAACATTTTTCCTGGAGCTCACAGCTGTTTTCAAACGTGATTTATACCTATATGAAGGAAAACAGACCGATATTTCCATGGTAACGTTTAACCTTATTGTTTTTCCTCCCTTTAGTGTATACACAGAGACTTGGCGGCCAGGAACGTTCTCGTAACAGAAAGCAATGTCATGAAGATCGCAGACTTTGGCTTGGCCCGGGATGTGCACAATATCGACTACTATAAAAAGACAACAAATGTAAGTACTCAGCATATTGCCAACACAAATTACATTAGAGATTAGAAATGCACTTAAAATGATTCCAGCTGACGTTTTTGTCAGTCTACTGTTATTCTTCTTGTTCATGAATACACAATATTTTGAGTGATTGGTACAATTAATTAGCCAGGCTGGCCCCACCTAGTGCCACCGCTCAGTTTCATTTCTCTCCAGTGATTAGGCCAGGAATCAGAATACACTAGACAGTCACAAAACCCCCACAAGTGTGAGTTCGGGCACCAGCCAATCAGAGAAGAGCCATACATTCTGTGTTGGTAACGATTCCTGAGATCAAGGATTTAAAGCCGAAACAAAGAGAATGTTTGGTGAATTTTATCAAGGGGAAAGACGTTATTGCCCTTCTTCCTATGGGATTTAGGAAAAGGAATTGGTTAGGTGAAAAAAGTACCTGCCTACCGTCGAGTGAACAAATTCTAACACTGAGAGGTCACTGAGAGGTCAGACAGTTTCTACGAAGTGAAACCGGCTGATGAATCAGGCTAACAATTATTAGGTTTATATGGGCAAAAAACGTCCTGTAATTTGTAACCTTTGCAACTCTAGATACCTGTTGCTTGCAAAGTAAGGTTAAAATACATAAACAATAACACACACACAATTAGAATAGATAGGCAACACAACAATACGGCATACGTCATAGCAGCCCCTTAAACAGTTGTACTTTAAAATGCTCTTAAATAATTGTTCAGATTGGAACCATTCTTTGTCCAATGCCCTCCGTTCCCTCTGCTCTCCATCTTGGCTGATCCTTTGGCAGAAACCTCAAGTTCCCATGAAGCCTTGTGAATGTGGACTGTTTATCCCTCACTCCCTTGTTCCTTTAGCTTCATCACCACTTATACAATTAGCTAAAAAGACTAAGAGCTTGGGCAAAGAGAGGGAGAGAGCAGCTAAACATAATTGACATTTCTAAAGTGGCCCAGTAGTGGCGTCTTTCTCGTTCCCACAGCGCAGCAAAGCAAGGCAAATCTGCATTGGTAGCGCATCCTAATTTGGTATGCATGGTTGCCTCCCGTAGCATGCACAATCTCGCTGAGAACAACAACATGGGCAACAATAGAGCGTGATGCTGATGGAGCTGATGATTACGACAATAACAGTGATCTGACGCCGAAACTAATTTACACAGAGCGGCTTTTGTTGGTTCGTCTTTGTTCAATCACGGGACAACTCCAGAATTATGAGCATGGGATAAATGGCGTGCAATAGCGTGCAAACTTTCCAGATGATTTTATATTATGCAGTTGTGATGTAATTAATCAAGCTAGAAGAGTGAAGATGTCAGTTTGGAAGCATAGAAATAAATTATGATCTATAGCAGGTACACTGGGGCACTAGATAGAGTTGAATGACTCATTTGAAAGTAGTAAATAACCCATACTTCTAGATATGAGGTCTCTCTGCAGATCTGGCTCGTAACTTGGCATCAGCAGCTTGTCTCAGTGGAAATAGACAACAAATTTAATGCATTACTGTGAAACAATCCAAGGAACGTAATAACATCTCCATGGAGAGAATCAAGAGGCAGAAGCGCCACCAGAAAAGTTGCATATTTCCTCTTTAAATAACAAAGTTTACTTAACATCTCATTAAACAAGCACATACAATATCAAATTCTTACCTAGATAAATGATTTAGGTTCAATAAGGAAACACAATTTAAATTTAAATGAAAAAAACACCTTAAGAAAACTGTATTACAAAAATAGACCCACTTCACAGGAACATTTGTTTGACTGCTACAACTTTATTTTCTACAACATGCTCGCTGATTAGATTAGAGCATCCATTAAGCTACTATTCTGATACTGACCAAGGTCGTCCAGTCAGTGGTGTTTAGCGTCTCGACTGCAGCAAACACAGATAAACCCGCTGTTATCTATGACCTGTTTATCGGCTCTGTGGCTTTAACAATGTAAATGTTCCTATGGGAAATCCTCCATGCAGACAGATGCAGCAGAACCCTATTCCCCAAACAGCTCTCACTTATCGGGCTTTGGAGAAGCAATGAGATCTTAACTGGATTTTAACATGCTGATTTTAGCAGAAACAGAAAGGACTTGTAGGCGATTCTAGTTGATCTGATTTGACCTTTGTCCTTTATTTGTCTCCGCAGGGTCGTCTACCAGTAAAATGGATGGCTCCTGAAGCACTTTTTGATCGTGTCTACACACACCAGAGTGACGTGTAAGTATCTAAAATGTATTTTTTCAACCTAAAATATATTTATTTTTTACCAGAAAGCATTGGGATATCAACATGAGAGCAATTTGATCCTGTATTTTGGAGTTGTGTGTTGATAAGCAAGAGACAACAGCCAATTAGAGCATGCACATTTGGCCAGAACTAACATTCAAGTCTATTTACACTGTAGTGGAAAGCATCACTGGGATATATTACCAATAGTAAATAATACAAATAAAACATGTCCGTGTGGTTATGAGAAGAATGCTGTCTCCATGGGTCTCATAATGATGAAAAATTAGGACTGTCGCCATAGCGAGTAACAACTTATCTTAACAAAATATCCTTTGAATGGGAAAGAGTGCTAAAAAAGTTCCAACAGGAGGCTGAAACCCATGAATATGCAACATTTTGAGGACTTTTTCCCTTCAGAATATATTATGTTTAGTTGTTTATTGTTCATCACTGTGGCAGTCCTATTTTTTCATCATTCTGGATGCATGGATAACAGGAAGCTGAAACCCAAGTATATTTAAATTGGACAGAGATTCTCAATGTTACCTCATAAGGGCCTTATATTTTTGTTTCTAGGCAGCTTAAGATACATTTCACATCATTAGTTAACTGGACTTGTTTTTGAGGCTTGGTTAGGTGTTTTGGTGTTGTACTGGTGAGTGGTAGTTGGGGGTGGCGAGTTACAAAGAACCAGGACTGGCCGGTCAGCAGCAAAAGTGAGGATTTCACGCTAGACTTGGAGCCAATGCCGTGTTACTAATCTGAACGGCTTCAAAGGGCTCTGGAAGGAGCAGGGGTTCGGCAGCACCTCCTCCCCACGAATAACCCCTCCATCCTGGATCCTGGCTCGGAAGTCTCCCCTTCTCTTTGCCTCCATGGATGTTTGAATGTACAACAAAGCTTTGGCCCTCCAGTACGGATAGACCTAAACTTTCTCTTTTACCCCCTGCAAGCCCCTCTCTGCACTCTTCACCAAGATTCAGTAATACTTTGAACATGTGGCGCTGCGTATTGTCAGACCAATCTCTGATCAAAACATTCCCCCTCCCATTTCATTTCGGCGTCTTTCTTCTTGGACTACGTGGATTGCTGACCCGTCTCTGTCTGTCCTTTCCCCCCCACTTCCTCTAAAAACAGTACAAAGGCAACGCGTCCCTCTTTTTAACATTTGAGTCTCATGTGTTTTGACAGCGCTGTTTGAAGTTGGTGCTGCAGACACTGGCAGCAGAAAGTGTATGTGGCAATTAGATAAATGCTTCGCACGGTGACCCCTGGGAAAGGGGCTTGGGTGCGCGAATGAGTCATAGAACAGCAGTAGCAGAGTAAACAGATTTCGTCCTGCTAGGCGCGCAGATAGGCATGGCTCTTACCACAAACAAGTGTCTCAATGTGCGTGTTTGGGCATACATAACGAACACACTTGCGATGCCCTTTGCCTTGGTTATAATCGATAGTATGATCCCGCAACCACTTCTGTTAGCTAATTTCATCATTTCACTTTTAGTAATTGGGTCCTCATACTATAACATATGAATGCATGAGAAAAGGGTGTTAGAGAAGTAGGCTGCATCCTCCACGCAACACAGCAGTGCAAGCAATCCATACATGACATCAGATTAAATGAATACATGAATTCCAATGCAGGCCAGTTTGACGAATAGGCCCAAGGGATGGAGATGTGGTTAGCTTAGTACCGGTAATGGTCGAGACTGGATGTGGGCAGTGCAGTAAGACAATAAAATTATATTACGCCATAAAAGTCGTGCATGTGTATTGACATTTGGTTCTGATGTTTATATTCATATAGCTTTTAATCAATGCGAGCAAGATGTTGTGTAAGTAAACCAGAAAATTAGGTCACCTCTTTGTATCGATCTACCAGAGCTTACGGTGTCTTTAGGCAGGTTTAAAGCACAAAATACAAAAGCAAGGTCCATTCAATGTGACCCAGAACGTGTCGGTATGCGCGTTTGTTTGCGGAGTCAAGCTTGGATGCAGTCAAACGCAAATGTCCACAAGTTGACAAGCGCTAATTTGGGACGGAAAGGCGATCCAAGTGTGTCAACAAAAGATACTACTCCAAGATAGGGAACCGGGAACAAATCTGCTTGTGTCAATAGATAGAAGAACTGATAAAAACTGGTTCTCTATGGCTGCGTGCCTATACGGACAACTTCAGGGTGTGGCGTACAGTGTATACATTTCCTTGTAGGTTATAATACGGGCTTTGTGCGCAAGTGGAGGGAGATATAAAACCACAAGGAAGTAGTTAAAGTCATCTTCGGCCTTTTGTTTCTGCTGGGTGGTCCGCTGTTTGTTTTGGTGTGGTGAGAAAGGACAATGTCAGTCTGTGTAAGTGTCCAGAGAGGCAACAAAAGACAGCATTGACCCCTGGGCCAAAGTGAGTGGGTCCGTGCCACAAGCCGCCCAACTGCAGAAAGAAGCCATTGACACCACTGCAGGGACATTGTTGAGCACTACAGGCCAGAGCCGCTAATGTAAACGATATAGTGGTTCAAAGATACACTATGCTTTTTATTCAAATATTTTCATCTAGAAGAGTCATTTTCAGTTATTCAAATGATTTTTTTTATATCTCTTTTCAAAAAGTTTCACACTGCATTTTTTTTTTTTTTTTACAAAAGGGACAAACTGACCTTAGTCTACAGCCAATTCTTTGTCAATAAAAACATGTTAAAAAAAAAAAAGGTTTGTCTTCTTGATCAGGAATTTATAGTAACAAAATGAAATTGAATACAAAATTGTGATAGCTCTAAATTGTTTTTGTCATATCACTCAGCTCTGGATTGAAGGAATCAGCACCCACAGTGGAAAATTACATAGGAAAAAATATGCAACTGTAATAACATAGGAAGTAATGGAGCATCTCACAGGGGTACACCGACTCAACATGTAAACAAAATCTGTGTTGATCAGTCTATTGAGTTTTACTTTCCTACACAGAAGGATAGCACATACTAATGCACCATTTCTGTTTGCCTCCCCAGCTGGTCATTTGGGGTGCTGATGTGGGAAATCTTCACCCTCGGTGGTTCCCCTTACCCGGGCATCCCCGTCGAAGAGCTCTTCAAGTTACTAAAAGAGGGACATCGCATGGACAAGCCCGGCAACTGCACCAATGAGCTGTACGTCTGTGCTTAAACATTTCACTAAATGTTTCTGACACAACGTTTCTTATACACAGACCAACTTTATTGGTGCAACTGGCTATGATGAAAGCTAGTATTTATAATGAGGTCTTAGTTCAGAGGGTTTTATATTGGTCTGACTTATTATTTCAGTTTTGCAATACGTTTGGGTGCTGCCCTGGTTTAAAACCTGGTTTACACCCAGTTTGTCATGGTCTAATCCTGGTTTAGGCCAAAATAATTCCTGCTATAGTCATGATTAAGACTAAGTCAAATCCAGTCTGGTCCTTGAAGGTCAAATATTGTATGCAGTGGTACTTATCATGGAAATTTTGAAAACCACAGGATAATGTTGATGACTATAATGAGACCAAGAGAATAACAGTGGGCAGAAAGTAGAGCAGCATATCGCTTAGCGGGATTTCAAACTAAAGCCATTTCAGGTCATACACAAGTGTAATACTGAATAGATTTACAGAATTTTCTTTTCGTTTGTCTAACTTATGTAATGTCTCCTACAGGTACATGATGATGAAAGACTGCTGGCACGCCATCTCCTCCCAGAGACCCACCTTCAAGCAGCTCGTGGAGGATCTGGATCGGATCTTAACCCTAAACACCAACGAGGTGGGCACAGCTCTCGCTCCTCTGCACGCTCACTGCAAAAGAGCAACAAAAGCGCTCAATTTTCCATCTTGAAACCATTCAGGGTGGTCGGCCGAGCTATAATTTCCTGGCAAATGGGGTCCCAACATTTCATAACAATAAAATGGAATATGCTACATTCCTATGCAGACCATGCTCACAGTCCAATCTAAATGGAACGGGTGCCAGTGCGTGGAGGTTCCTGCACAATATTGTTGAAAGTTTTAAGAGCGCGAGTCGCCAACCAAAGGCCTCAGTATTGACCAAAACTCGGCCTAACAATTTAATTTGGGCCCAGTGTGGCGGCTGTGGCCTATTAAAATTGCCCAATCATCACCACCATGATTCCCTTCCTATAATGGCTGTGCTTTTCCATTCAATCCTGTCTAGTGTGATATCCGCAAAAAGGCCTGAAAAGAGGCTGTCTATGTGGAAAGCTGTCAAGACTAGTCTGTTTTGGAAAAGGGAACTTTGTGAATTTATGCCAAAAAAGCCCAACTTGGAGTTTGAACTTTTGAAATGTAATAAAGCAGCATTTTTTCCTCCCTCCTCCCCTGTGCGTCTCTGCCCCAAACCGCTGGCAGATGTGGAGGTCCGCAGTAATGTGAGCCTGTTCTTGTTGAGCTGGGAAAATAGAAGCCAGCTAGTGCTCATTTTCTAGAAAACCCCAAAAACTTTTTCAAAACGTGCACTAATAACACCCATGAAAGAACAGAAGGAAAGAGGGTGTCTACATGAAAGCCGTCACACCAGCCTCATAGATTAGTGCCAGGATTTTGGGATTGCTCGTCTTTCTTCATCCTCATTTTTGTGGTACGGTCCGTTTTGAGCTGCCAGTTTCAGTATTTGCAACATGTCAGAACTGCGTTCGGATTGATCTTTAGACGGATGACGCCATGTTTGAATGGTACTTTTCTCAAATGGAGTCAATAAATCGCATTTCTTTGTTGTTCTAATACACATGGAAGCATTTTCATAAAGTTTTCTATTTTACCTTTATAGCCCAAGAATTAAGATTAAAGATGCACTATGTAACTTTTCTATGGAGGGGCCAACACCTACTGCCAAGTAGATATCATTGTAGAACAGGGGTCTGCAACCTGTAGCATGGAAGCTACCAGTAACTCTCCACCCCCTTCCAAGTAGCTCGCCAAGGGAATTCTGAATTATACGTATTGTTCTTAATAAATAAAATCTGATTATTTACCATTTTAAATTTATCATTTTGATGCCTAACTTCTGCACTAACAAATGGATAATGGTTTATGTTTTATAAACTTCTAACTGTACCCCATCTAAGACTCACCATGGCTTTTATACTTTCTCAGTTTCTCGCTCTTTGGCATTTTCATTTTGTAACGGTAGCTCAGCAGAAGAAAAAGGTTGGAGACCCCCGTTGTAGAATGTTCTATAGTATGACATTAACTTTATCGTATGTATCTCCATGGAGAAAAGCAGCACTAAGCCAAATTACAGATCAGATCTATGATGAGGCAATCCCCCTCTCACAGTAATAACGGCTTAAAACACCTGTAATGGAATAAACAATAGATATGCAAGTTGAATGCTCTACTGCGGAACATTCTAGCATTCTAGGCGAAGCAAAAGCATATCCATGGAGACAAGAAGGGGGCAGAACTTCCACCAGAAAAGTTACATAGTGCATCTTTAAGACTTGACGAACTGTGGGAAAAATAAGATACAGAAAAGGCCAAAAGTGTAGAGCCGCTATACTTAAAATCACTGGAAAGTAAAAATAAACCAAATTCACATGATCTAATCTAAACTGCACAGTGATAAATGAAGAGTAGACACACATTAAAATCCGCCCTAGACTTTTTCCAAAATCTTTCACTAAGCCAGCTTGGACCATGCTGCTGTCTAGCCATCAATTCCTTGCCTATTATTCTTGCAAATATTTTCATACAGTATCCAGTTAGAGATTATTTGTTCTGCTCCTTTTCATAAATCCTTCCAGGGTGATGTGGTTTAGAAAAATATAATAATGAAGGTGATACATCTTTACTCTGCTGGTCTCAGCCTCTTCTGGAAAGCCCCTGTCTGTGTTGACTTGGGTTTAGTGCACTATGTTCGTTCTCCAATAACTGACATTCTTTCCATGGGTCATTTCTGCAGAGGTGGGAAGTTTGTACTGAAGGTAAAGAACTGTTACATGGCAAAAACACCCAATTACAAGAACCAGCAATAAAAACATGAGTCTATGGTGTCTGTGGCTGAAGTGGCACTAGTGAAATTTTAGCAGTTGCAGCCAGTTCATATTGTTGTTGTGCCCTTGGCAGAGTCTGTAGTTGTGTTTGAAAAGGCCAAGTTTCTTCAGTAAATCCCATATCAGTTGTGTTTATAGAAGCTTAGTTACGATCTATGCACTATGTAACATTTCTCCTCTGCTACTTGCTTGTCTCTATGGAGACTTTACTGCTTTGCCCGGACGTTCCACTGTATAGCAATAAATCTATGTGCATCTATTGAGTTGCTGACAGATTTTTATTGAAAAACATGCATATCTACTGTGAGCGGGATTGCCTCTGTACAGTTATGGCTTATAACTTGGTCTGGTGGTGTCACCTGCTTGTCCCCACAGAGACAGATACAGTAAACTTAATGCCATACTGTGAAACATCCCTAGCCTGATTCATCAGCCAGTTTCACTTCGTAGAAACCGTCTGGCCTCGCAGCGTTAGAATTTGTTCGCTCAATCGTAGGCGGGTACTTCTTTCATTGAAGCAATCACCGCTACTTGGTCGTGACGTATGTAATGTGCCACTAACGGGGCTAACTGGTATATTAAGAGTTTCTCAAATCCCGTAGGAAGAAGGGCAATAACGTCTTTCCCCTTGATAAAATTCACCAAACATTCTCTTTGTTCCGGCTTGAAATCATAGATATTGGGAATTGTTGCCAACACAGAATATATGACTCTTTGCTGATTGGCTGGTGCCCGAACTTGCACTTCCAGAGTTTTTGCGAACCATCTAGTGTATTCCGATTCCTGACCTAGTCGCTGGAGAGAAATGAAATTGAAAAATCCCAGGCGAAGTTGCACGTTTCTGTTGAGAAAAGCAGGTGGTGGAACTCCCTTCAGAAATGTGACATAGTGTTCCTTTAACACGTGAATCAACTGGAATTTCCCCTTAATGAGACACATAAATGTTATCTTATCTTTTATAACTGTTAACAACTCTGGGCCAGACCAAATGGCTTCCACTGCAATATAAATCTTTAAAATACAGTTTGCACCAACTTTTGTTAGTTCTGACTGTCTTAAAAGCTGTACAAGTTATCTCAGAAGATTAAAGGCAAGCTACCTCCTCCCCAAAAATCAACTCAGTTACAACGTGATTATCTGTGATTGATTCCTTGCACCTCTCTAAGCTTTGTCTCTAAACAAATTCCTCTTGTGTTGTTGTTGTAGGAGTACCTGGACCTGTGCACCCCGACAGAGCAGTATTCCCCCAGTTTCCCGGACACTCGCAGCTCGTGTTCCTCTGGTGACGACTCTGTGTTTTCTCACGATCCATCACCGGACGAGCCCTGCCTCCCCAAATACCAGCACATCAACGGGAACGTCAAAACATGAAAAAAAATTAAGACTTCTAACTACCCCAACAAAACCTACTTCTTCGAGACACTTCCACCAACACCCCTGTTCTCCTATTACACCTCTGCGGTCCCAACAGACTCATGGACCTAGAGATGGGGTCAAAAGTGGTCTTAAATTATGGATTTTTGCTGAAAGACTGAATGGACGAAAGCTTCTCGCAAAATCCTACACTTTCATCAAGTTCAAGGCTTCAAGTTCTCAAGTTTTGGGGTGTTTGGTATTTTGAACATTGAACCAACCTCGCAGGCTGCCATTCCAAGACTGTTATTTCTGCCCTTGGAGGAATGTATGTACGGACCAATGTGAACTTGTAAACAATGGACTAGATTACAGATAGGAAAATGGACTAAAAGAAAACTTCGACTAACAAAGCAGAGGAATAGGAGATATGTTTATTTTGTAATATTGACGCATTTCTTTTTACATTCTTTATATGAACCCTTCCAATTATTCTGGAGAAAAACAAATCAGTATAATGTATAGTGCTGGGTATATTTGTAAATATATTCAAATATGTAAAAATATATATATTATATATTTACATGAATTATTTTTTGTATGGACTCCAAAATAACCACAACCCTCACCAACCAAGGTACGCTAATGGATGTGTCCTATATTTCTGTTTCATGCACACATGCACTCAAAACATAGACAGTACAAATGGAGACTAAGAAACTATGGGGCTTATAATGTACATGGAATGGGAGTGGGGGGGAGTTGGTGTGGAAATCCATGCCATATTTAAAAAAAAATGTTTGGGAAAGTGTCACAAATACAGGTACTTAAGTAACTAGTGGCACTAATGGTACTACCTAAAGAACATATAGCATTTATAACATTTAGCTATTTATTTTTAGCTAAATCGAATGTATGCTCTTCAATATGCTTTAAAACTGTGATTCTCGACTGGTGAGGTTGAAGCCAATGTTCATTTAACATTAAAATACACATGCCACATACTATAGGTTGTTATAAATAAATTTAAAGAGTCTAAAAATGATAATTACCAGTTGAGACCCTCAGTTTTAAGTATAATATTGAAGCAAGCAGCAAGTTGTTATAGATTTTGTCTCCCATTTAGCAGTGGGGAATCAGCTGCTAAATTAAAAATGAATAATTAGCAACACATAAACCTCCAAAAGCGAAGTGGTGAATGTATATAGAGTTACAATGTTTATATTTTTGAATGGGAGCCTATAGGAGCCAGCTGTACCTTCATAGTCTCTTGGTCCATTATAATTTCTACTGTCTATGGCCACACATATCTGTTTAACTCTCTCTCAGTAACACAGTGGAGTATTGGCTTTTCAGGGACTGAGGTAGCACGTTAATTTATTGACTTATGTTGTTTTTAAATAAATATGAAAAAAGAGAAAAAAACAAAAGATTATGAAAGAGAGTATGGCATTAATAATGGTTGTAATACAGAAATAATCCATGAAATTTTATGGTAATTTAAAATGATCTTTCAGCAGTAACAGAAAAGCTATTTTTAGTGGGTTTGAAAGATCCAGGTTTTGTAATTTTTATATATGAATGTGAATTTTAAGTTAAAATTTTACAAACTGTACATTTTATAGTCAGCTAATCCCTTTTGTATGTAGATGTTGATACCATTTCTATCCAGACGTCTTTGCTAACTTTAGGAAAGAGTCAGATTTCTGGATTTATATACAGTTTGGAAATAAACAACAATTTTGGTTACTTCTTCTAGCTCTTGTAGACTAAAAATAGACTCCAAAATTTTACTTGACAGAATTGAAAGCTGAAAACAAAGTATTAAATAATTGAAATGTTGTTTTTTACTGGACCAAGGATAAAATGTTTTGGTTTTTGCAAGTGTTCATGCCACATGCAAAATAAATAATGGAAAATCCATTGTTTTCAATGTCTCTTTAATTTTCAATGACAATAAGCACCGCATACTGTATGTTACAGCTACAGCATCTTTCAGCATTACTATTCCTTTCTCATGCATGTGTTCTGGGTGGAGATATCAAAGCTGTCAGTGCTGGTTAGAAAATACAATACTATGTTTTATAACACTATTCTTTACTGCAAAGAGAGGGATTTTCCACTATATCTCAAATTAATATGACACAGAGAACAGGTCCACAGGGAGTGTAGAATAATATATTTCTTAAAATTGGGTTTAGGGGTGCAAATACCAAACTCACCATTATTACTATTAGCCTTTTTTTTCTCACACTTCTACAAAATTTATTATAAACTAAACAGTGATTAGAAAGAACTCGGCACTGATCAACTGATTTATATTCTGGACAGAGGCAGCATAAATCTTTGTGACAGTACCAAATTCCAATTCAGGATCAATGGGAAGTAAATGGTTTGTACCCAATGTGTTTATAATAGAAAATAACAGGAATGTAATGGTAATTCTTTGTTGATTACAGACATGTCCTGCCAATTGATTACTTGATTAAAAAGGAGGTGTGGCTAACGATCTCAAATGTATTACGCATCTCAACATATCTGTTTGCACTCACAAGACTCCATGTGTCCAAACAACTACTTATGGTACTAGGAAACGATGTATTCATATAAAGACAGATTACATTTGTGAGTTTATTCTGTCTTTTTACATATAAATACAAAAAAAAGCGAGTGAGTTAGTGAGTGAGCAAACTCACTCACTAACATTTCCTTTCTGCTGTTGTCCCATTTAAATCCATATAATCTAAATAAAAGGGTAAGTTGACTAACACAAACTTTGGTCAACTGAAACACCATTCAACCAATTAATCGACCAAATGACTAAAGGTCTAGTAAATAAAGTATTTAGTTTCAAAGGCCACCATGATTTAAAACATGAATAAAAACAGATTAATCTTCCACTATGGTCACTGACTACACCTGACAAGTATCACGAGCCAGAAAAAAAAACAAATGACTAAAAAGCAAATGTATTATAAACCAATGAAAGCATCAGATAAGAAACTGCCCCATAATCATTGGATTTGAGAAGTCAGAGATTGCAGTGTGGTGTCTTGCTCATTATCCTTGCTCTCACTGGATACAAGTCGATTTGAGTGTGGTTGTGATCGCTGCCGCCAGACTAAAATGGCCTGATTGATTCCCCAGTCTGTTATCAGTATAGATTTAATCCAGCGGAGTAAGCACATGGTAGTGGGGTGAGTTATTAGTAAGTAAATTGAAGCTGATCTAATGCAGAGAGGCACTAGAGTGACAGTCACAGATGTGGCCTCAGCAACTCAAATCGTGCCACGCTCCACTGCTCAAAGTCATCAAACATTGAATTTTAATATAGTTGTTGTTTAGACGAGGCAAGTTTATTTATAGAGCTTTTACAGATCAAAAAGGATACAAATGATCAAAGCAAACAAGTCTAAGAAAATATCAAAAAATCATTATAGATGACTGACTGCAGATAAAATCCTTCCTGTCATTTGCACAGGTAAATAAAACGCTTTGAGTCTAGACTTGAACATCTTCAGGAAGACAGATTTTAGATGCATAAATTGTTTAGCATCAAAAGCAGCAAGAGGCTGATCCCTGAGCTTCTCACAGTCCTATAATGTTGATATGGATTAATACTTTTCCCAGTATTGTCAGAAAATAGTATATTACTGAACTAGCCACAGCTGCCCTGGGACTCATAGATGGAATTGTGGCTGCTCCTGGCTTCTACAACTACTAATCACACACACCATATTCATTCCTAGACCAGCAGCCAGGTTGGTGAAGTGTGTTGCCCAAGGACACAATGGTAGAATGCAGTAATATTTTGCTAACTTTGAAAGACTTAAAGCCGGCACACACTACAGGACTTTTCAGCCTTAAATGATTTTTAAATGTGCAACAAAAACTGCAAACCACAGACATGAGGAGAATCTTATGAGATTTTAATCTCCGATCACAAAGACTACTGCGGCATATGGCTGTGTACTACAAAGTTGTGAGCGTGATCGCGTCAGCTGTTTCCTGTCTAGAGTAAAACAACTTACTTTGGGACTCTTGAGTGTTCAAAAATCAGAGCATTGTACTTCTAGTTTAGATGCAAGACAAAACTGTGTTATTTTTATTTGTGGAATGTGATGCAACACTTCAGATACATGATTTCTAATGCACAGAAGGTTGGCGATTAAGTACACAAGAGTCACTATCGCTAATCTGCAGCTTCACCCTGATCTGCGTGGATATACACCTTGCTTTTTTATTTTTAAAGAACGCTTCAAACTGGATTAATAGTGTTTTTTAGTGAAGTGGGTGTTATTATTTGCAGAGGGCAAATTTTATGGATAATATGGATGAGATGCTACATTTAAATGTACATCTTTACGAGAGGAGGTGAATAATAAAGTCTTCTCATTATTTTCACTATTTTTTGCGTTTGTATCTTGTGTCTCTGTGTCAGTCACTCCATCTGCCCCTGACACTCTGTTTTATTGGCTGCTACCGTACTGTTGCTGATGTTTGGTGGTTACGATCTGACAGAGTAGCACAGAATCACACTGACACCACACACAGCGGCTTCAAAATCACACACGAAGACACAAAGTTGGGTCACACCTCGTCGAACTGCGGGAGAAGCAAATTGCAGCCAAAATCAAGCAAATTCTCCTGTAGTGTGTGACGGCCTTTAGACAAATTTAATTGATCCACAAGGGAAATTATCTGGACACAGTGGCTCACACATCAAAATATATTACAATACCAAAAGAACAAAATATAAATGGTAATAATAAATTCAAAATTAAAGCAATTTCATGTCTATGGTAGGAGGCTCTATACTATAGTGTTTAGTTGTATTAGATTTCATAATCTGATTTGGGGACTTTCCTTCCATGTTCAGGGGGTGAAAAATATGATTTCCTACTGAGCAAAAAATTATAAGAAGAAATGGGCAAAGAACAAAAGCCCTCGCCAATTACTCTGTTACTGGCTCAGGCCAATAAGTAGCAAAAATAGCAAGAGACTGGTGTCAAATAAAAAAAGAGTGAAGGTTTCGGAAAATTTCCAGGAGGTACTGTGACCTGCTGCCACTCTGTCAGACACTCGGCTCAGAAGGAAAACTATGTTAAATAATGAAAACTTGCTAAATAAAATACTAGTAGCTTCTAATTGACTGCAAAATGTAACCTCTAGTTTTATATTTTTGCTGAGTTGGAGAAGGCCTGGCTGATATCTTAAAGTCTCCGATCTAAAAATGCACCATTATCTTGAAGTTTCCATTGCCAGATTCCAAACCAAAAGTGTACAGACCAAGCTCTTTCCAGCTCCAATCTCACAGTGCAGGCTGTTTATTGTAACTGTAAATAAAGAAAGTAACCTGAGCCTGTATTCGTGTCATAGAGGCATGCACACACATCAGCGGGCATGTCGAGAAGATAGAACAAGCTAATCTTTTATTTGCCCTCCTCTTGTCACTCCCCCTTCAGCCCTGAGCACAATACACAGGCCTAGTGATAAAAGTACATATCCGGCTTCCCCCATAGTTAATAAGGGTGTATGCAGTACACTACCACTCTCTCTCCTCTCTCTGCTCCAGTGCAATCCGATTGTATGGAAAAAGAGGAATGTTTTTTGGGACGAACTTCTTGCTCCAAGCCTCTTTGCGGGATCCGGAGACAAGAGGGGACAAGTCTACAGCGGGAAAAACTCAAAACGTCTTACGTGAATGTTTATACTGAACAAGTCCAAGCCTGGTAAATCCTGCCTAATGCTAAAGAACACATTATTTACACGTAAAGCTACCAAGAGTCATCAAGGAAGAAAAAACTATAGGTTTTAAGCAATGACGGAGTAAAAATCACGTGTAGTTCCCAGATAATCACAGGATTCCTATCACTACTAATGCAATGTTTAACAAGTAAGTGTACAAGTTTAAAGTACTATACAGTATGATGGGCCGCCACTATACTGACATTTTGTTTATGGAAGCTTGCACATTTCATTTTTTACTTACTTACTATTGATTTTCAACTTACTTACCATTGATTGATGCGCTGATGTAAATGAAGTAGATTTTGGGTATGTTCATCACCTTAATATTATGTCAAATATGTAATTATAGCAATTATTAGTTACCATATTTATTTTGACATTTCTATTTGGGGGGATTCTAATACAGCATACATTGTGACACCACACACAACGGCTTCAAAATCACACAAAAAGTGCAATTAACTTAGAAGTGGGCAAGGCCTGCAGACCAAGCTGTTGAAATAGACTCCTTTGTAAAATAACACGTGTGGTCAAAGCATAACCTCACAGAGCAAAATGGATTCTCATGGTATTTGTGAGTTCACCAACTCGTGCTCAGCTTGGCATGTGTCCGCTGGTAAGATAGGGCCCGAAAGGTGGTGGGCGACCAATCACAGAGCAGCATTGAGGTTTATGCGGAAGCCAAAGGCGAAGTGCCCAAACAAACAAAACAAACATGGCGATACAGACAGATGTACTTCAGCCTATTTTAGAGTCAACATAGACTATTTTGTTTGTGAAAAGCGTGCAAAAGGTAAGAGCTTTGTGCATCTGTGGACAGGAAAAGTTGTGCTTTTCTCTCAACTGGATGTGACAAAGGCTTAATTTTTTTGTCTTGTTCTGCGAACAATTAGATTCAAATAGATCATGATTTTCAGAGTTTTCTGATCACCATTCCAAACTGATAATGTGTACAACAATTCAGAGAGACACGCATATCATAAACCTCAATAGTCCTTGCATATAAGTGCATTGTAATTTGGAAAAGCAGTGGGTAATAGTAAAAATGGTATGTGTTTAATAAGTTTCTAGCCTATAGGTAAACATGACCCACAGTCTCACAAATCTCTCAACCAGTTTCTCATTTGGAGGACTTTTCTCCATGGTTTTCAAATGCTCTGGAGATT